GTTATCGAGTGACTTGATAAATATACAGCACCTCTCCTGAAACTCTACAGAAAGAAGGGATTCATGGGTCCAGAGATGGATACAACTTTAAACAAGATGGGATGAGCAGGTACTCATTAAGATTTTTTTTTTCTTATACACCCGTCTGATGTTTTTAACATGTGCAACATATTTTGTCCTGTCAAGAATTTCATGCTCAGGTAATACAGTCTAATAAAACGTAATTGCAACAATTTAATTGTCCAGCCCTTTTGCATTAATTTTAATTGTGTCAAGTTATGTTTTGATTGTGAGATGGAAGTAAGATAAATAACAGATGTTTCACTTGTTTTGAGTGACCATTTCAAATGAATACATTCAAAGAGGAAAATAGAAAATAATAGCTGTAGTTTTTAACTCAAAGTAATTGTCACATGAAACTAAACATTTTTCTAAATTTGCCAACACAACCATTATCAAATTCCATTGTATGGAAACCACAAAATTCTTTTTTAAAAATAAAGCCATGTGTTTTTTCAACAGCATGAATAAAATACTATGCTCATTTAAATGTACTAAGTACATTTTTACTTACAAAACAATAAGATTGTAAAACACCCTTTGTAAATGACTTTCCTTTAGGTCACTGATATTGTCACCGATCGAGAAAGAGCAGCTCTTGAGGGATTGCCAATTTTTCTTCGTAAAAATTCTGCTTGCTTTCTCAAGATATGTCTGGTAAGTTACCCATTTTCATACCCTATTCTACATTTATTAGTCTGCTTGGTAACACTTTTAATAGCTGCACGCTATAAATAATTTATTTAGTATTAGCGAATAGTTAATTTATTTTCTGTTAAGCATAACTCTACATGAAGTGCTCAATGATTGTATTTTTTTTAACTTTAATGATTCATTTGTATTACTAATTTAAGTATTGCATTATTTACAAACCAGTTATTTAAGAATAGTTGGTGTTTTTAAGATCATTCAGAATGCTTAAGTAGACGATTAATAAACTATTCAAATTAACATTTAAATATCCTAATATTAAGGTATGTAATAATAGTTACTTTGTATGTTAGTATATGCTTTATGAGCTTAACTTCATCCAGTTGTGACCTAATCTAAAGTGAGGACTATTTATGCTTTATAAATCCCTTATGAATGACAATTAAAGGCTCAGTTATATTCTAAACAGGACAATAAACAACTTTCACAATTGAAACTGTATCAAATAAAAGTAAATCTTTGCAATTTTATGTAAAATAAAAGTTTAAAAAATTGCTAAATATTAAAAAGTTGTCAATATATTGTTTAATTATTATATATTATAGACTATTCAAAGTGTTACTGTTTGTATGTACGAAAGTATTACATGTTTTTATTTTCTTTGCATAATAGTAATAACATTAATAAGTAGTAATTAATATTACACATCAATTAATTTTCCCATTACTTAATCTCCTATAAGGACACGGACCCTGAAGACCACAGCACCAGAGATTAAAGGATTGGAATCTTCACTGTGGTGGAAGATGATAATGGCACTTCTGCATCCCTGCAATATGTGATGAACCTCGCTAAAATCTTGGAGGAGGCCATAGTACTTCAGGATATCACACATCTGCCTGCAGCTTTCGCTTGTTCAGCCTCTTGTATAGACTGAATATGGAACACCCAAAAGAACTCAAATATACTTTTTAAGTGATTCAGCATGTTTTATGGAGGTTGGTGGCACATGATCTGCGAGAGTTCAGTTCATTCATTCATTCATTTTCTTTTCGGCTTAGTCCCTTTATTAATCTGGGGTCGCCACAGCGCAATGAACTTGTTTTACGCAGCGTATGCCCTTCCGGCTGCAACCCATCTCTGGAAAACATCCATACACACTCATTCACACATACACTACGGACAATTTTAGCCTACCCAATTCACCTGTGCCACACGTCTTTGGACTGTGGGGGAGAACCCAAAGGAAACCCACGTGAACGCAGGGAGAACATTCAAACTCCACACAGTAACGGCAACTGACCCGTGACCACTTCCTAATGTGCCACTGTTTCAATGTTTTGAGGTCTGTTTTTGGACTTTATGTACTTTGTTGACAAAAGTGCAGTACACTTTAAAGACTGTATGAATGGAGTGGCTTTTAGGGTTTACTCTGATTAGATGATTGTATATTCACCTGGTTTGAGTGTTTAGACACACTAATAGCTTGGTTTTAGTAAGGTTGCCAGTTATTTTATGTTGAGGCAGTGTACAATCTTTTCAAATCTGGAAACATTCAGTACTAGTTGTGTACAAACTAGCCCAATGCTGAACACGGCTAATGTCAAATGCTGATTTTGTATGCAAATGTTTTGGATTGTGATTTGAACACAGTTAAAAATAAAAAAAGTGAATTGACTATTCTTGTGTATTTAATTTGAATCCTAAAAATTAATAGTAAATGCATAATGAATCAGTTTGTTTTATTTTGTTCAGTAAACTAAAAAAATCTTGTTGGGTAAACATAATCATTTTTGTTCAGTAAACAAAAGATCTTGTTGAATAAACATGAAAATTTTTGTTCAGCAAACAAAAGATCTTGTTGAGTAAACATGATAATATTTGTTCAGCAAACAAAAATATCTTGTTGGGTGAACATGACATTTTTTGTTCAGCAAACAAAATATCCTGTTGGTTGAACATGATATTTTTTGTTCAGCAAACAAAAATGTCTTGTTGGGTTAACATGATATTTTTTGTTCAGCAAACAAAAATATCCTGTTGGTTGAACATGATATTTTTTGTTCAGCAAACAAAAATATCTTGTTGGGTGAACATGATACTTTTTGTTCAGAGAACTAAAGAATTCAACAAAATATTTTGAGTTCACTGGTCTTCAAACCCTGTTTGTTGAGTTAACTCAAAAAGCTATGTGTGATAGGTTGCCTAATTATTTTAAGTTTACTCAACTTTTTTTTTTTACAGTGTAGACTTGTTATGATTCTGTGTTTAGTCTAAGCTAGACATGTTATTATGCTGTATTTAGTCTGAAATAGACTTGTTTTGATGCTGTATTTAGTCTAAAGCTAGACTTGTGATGATTCTGTGTTTAGTCTGAACTAGACTTGTGATGATTTTGTGTTTAGTCTGAACTAGACTTGTTATGATTCTTTGTTTAGTCTGAGCTAGACTTGTTATGATGCTGTATCTAGTCTAAATCTAGACTTGTGATGTTTCTATATTTAGTCTAAATCTAGACTTGTGATTATGCTGCATTTAGTCTGAACTAGACTTGTAATGATTGTGTGTTTAGTCTGAGCTAGACTTGTCATGATTCTGTGTTTAGTCTGAACTAGACTTGTCATGATTCTGTGTTTAGTCTGAACTAGACTTGTTATGATTCTGTGTTTAGTCTAAGCTAGACATGTTATTATGCAGTATTTAGTCTGAACTAGACTTGTGATGATTCTGTGTTTAGTCTGAACTAGACTTTTGATGATTCTGTGTTTAGTCTGAGCTAGACTTGTGATGATTCTGTGTTTAGTCTGAACTAGACTTTTGATGATTCTGTGTTTAGTCTGAGCTAGACTTGTGATTATGCTGCATTTAGTCTGAACTAGACTTGTAATGATTGTGTGTTTAGTCTGAGCTAGACTTGTCATGATTCTGTGTTTAGTCTGAACTAGACTTTTGATGATTCTGTGTTTAGTCTGAGCTAGACTTGTGATTATTCTGTGTTTAGTCTAAGCTAGACATGTTATTATGCAGTATTTAGTCTGAACTAGACTTGTGATGATTCTGTGTTTAGTCTGAACTAGACTTTTGATGATTCTGTGTTTAGTCTGAGCTAGACTTGTGATGATTCTGTGTTTAGTCTGAACTAGACTTTTGATGATTCTGTGTTTAGTCTGAGCTAGACTTGTGATGATTCTGTGTTTAGTCTGAGCTAGACTTGTTATGATGCAGTATCTAGTCTAAATCTAGACTTGTTATTATGCTGTATTTAGTCTGAAATAGACTTGTTATGATTCTTTGTTTAGTCTGAGCTAGACTTGTGATGATGCTGTATCTAGTCTAAATCTAGACTTGTGATGTTTCTATATTTAGTCTAAATCTAGACTTGTGATTATGCTGCATTTAGTCTGAACTAGACTTGTAATGATTGTGTGTTTAGTCTGAGCTAGACTTGTGATGATTCTGTGTTTAGTCTGAACTAGACTTTTGATGATTCTGTGTTTAGTCTGAGCTAGACTTGTGATGATTCTGTGTTTAGTCTGAGCTAGACTTGTTATGATGCAGTATCTAGTCTAAATCTAGACTTGTTATTATGCTGTATTTAGTCTGAAATAGACTTGTTATGATGCTGTATTTAGTCTAAAGCTAGACTTGTGATGATTCTGCGTTTAGTCTGAACTAGACTTGTGATGATAGTGTTTTTATTCTGAACTAGAATTGTGATGATTCTGTGTTTATTCTGTGCTAGACTTGTTATAATTCTGTTTTAGTCTGAGCTAGACTTGTTATGATGCTGTATTTAGTCCAAAGCTAGACTTGTGATGATTCTGTATTTAGTCTGAACTAGACTTGTGATGATTCTGTGTTTAGACTGAACTAGACTTGTGATGATTCTGTGTTTAGTCTGAGCTAGACTTGTGATGATTCTGTATTTAGTCTGAACTAGACTTGTTATGATTCTGTGTTTAGTCTAAGCTAGACATGTTATTATGCTGTATTTAGTCTGAAATAGACTTGTTTTGATGCTGTATTTAGTCTAAAGCTAGACTTGTGATGATTCTGTGTTTAGTCTGAACTAGACTTGTGATGATTTTGTGTTTAGTCTGAACTAGACTTGTTATGATTCTTTGTTTAGTCTGAGCTAGACTTGTTATGATGCTGTATCTAGTCTAAATCTAGACTTGTGATGTTTCTATATTTAGTCTAAATCTAGACTTGTGATTATGCTGCATTTAGTCTGAACTAGACTTGTAATGATTGTGTGTTTAGTCTGAGCTAGACTTGTCATGATTCTGTGTTTAGTCTGAACTAGACTTGTCATGATTCTGTGTTTAGTCTGAACTAGACTTGTTATGATTCTGTGTTTAGTCTAAGCTAGACATGTTATTATGCAGTATTTAGTCTGAACTAGACTTGTGATGATTCTGTGTTTAGTCTGAACTAGACTTTTGATGATTCTGTGTTTAGTCTGAGCTAGACTTGTGATTATTCTGTGTTTAGTCTAAGCTAGACATGTTATTATGCAGTATTTAGTCTGAACTAGACTTGTGATGATTCTGTGTTTAGTCTGAACTAGACTTTTGATGATTCTGTGTTTAGTCTGAGCTAGACTTGTGATGACTCTGTGTTTAGTCTGAGCTAGACTTGTTATGATGCAGTATCTAGTCTAAATCTAGACTTGTTATTATGCTGTATTTAGTCTGAAATAGACTTGTTATGATGCTGTATTTAGTCTAAAGCTAGACTTGTGATGATTCTGCGTTTAGTCTGAACTAGACTTGTGATGATGGTGTTTTTATTCTGAACTAGAATTGTGATGATTCTGTGTTTATTCTGAGCTACACATGTGGTGATTCTGTGTTTAATCTCTACTGGTTAAATAATGGTTCGATATTTAGTGAGAACTGGTTATGTGAGGGGTCTGTGTTTAGTCTGAACTAGACCAAATCCCGTTCAGAGCCGTAACATTGATTGTGTAGGTCTGGAAACAAGATGCTGCTCATTTATGACCCCAATACATCAGTAAGCGAGCAGCCTCATGTTTCAAGACCAACAAAATTAACAATATGGAGTGGCCAGCCCAGTTCCCAGAATTTAACCTAATATAGAATCTGTGGACTGACATATAAAATGCTGTTTCTACGGCAAAACCAAGAAATGCAGAGGGATTGTTGTGTGTAGCAATTGTCCAGAGGTGCTAGATTGAATGAATCCATGCAACAGATATGTGAAGCAGTTCCCAGAAACAATGGCTACACAACTAAATATTACTTGGTTGATTCACAAGAAAGCTAAATCTTTAAGCAATTTTTCAGTCAATATAGATAAATATTGGATTTTTTGAAACATCCTACATATTAGTTTTGGTCCCACTTTATATTAAGTGGCCTTAATTAATATGTACCTACATAGGAATTAATAGTTTGTTACAATGTACTTATTGTGTAAATACATGTATTTAGTGTGTACTTATGGTTGATTAAATACATGTATGTAATTACATCTGTTGTTAACTTTTGCAATTACATTTGTCAATACACTGTTGACCATTCCCTACACCTTAACCCACCCTTAAACTTACCCATACCACCACACCTGTCCATAACCCAACCTCTATCCTAACTCAAAAGCACCACAAGTGTTCATTGCATATACATTATATACATTAATACATTATGAACACAGTAAGTACATTGTATTTATTTTTTGACTTAAGTACATAGTAGTTAAGGACACTTAATATAAAGTGGGACCTTAGTTTTTCTTAACTTTCGGTCTTTTTGTAAATTATTAATCCATTTAACAAATGTTTTGACTTAGAATTAAATGATTAGTGTCCCCAATGCATTTATGTGTATTGAAATTAAAAATATTATAAGGATTTTGAGCTTTTTTTTTTCAACACACTGCTATTATTTGGACACAACTGTATGTAGCACTTCCCGTTTGTGTTGCAGGGAAAAATAAGACAAATTTACATTGTATTCTACCCTTTGATAAGCAACGTGAGCAGACGCTTGCTTTCAGTGTCTTCTGACCAGGCTCTTTGGTGGCTCTCTGGCCCATGGAAAAGGAAATGCTTTTTTAAAAGACTCAGATGATCCAGTTTAACCGAACCTGCAAAAGCACTAGATCTGAACTAGCACCTGCATTCATTCTAGAGGAAAAAGGGCATTTGCTAAGCTTGTTCAAGGTTTGGCTGAACACATACCTTCAGCAGCAGCTGATACTTGGTGATCCTCTGAACCGGTTTAATAAGGTACGATGAGATGGAATTGGCCAGCCTGTGCCTCTGCTGGATTTCCTGCACACATACAAATGCACTCAAGAATTTGAATCAAAGAACAAACACCTTTCACGCAAACACACATGAAAACAATCCGCATGAAAGCATTTATCTCTCCTTTTGATTTTAGATGGCTTCTTGATAGCAATTGAGCAGAAGCAGAGCTCAAGGCTACAGTTATTCATCGGCGCTGAAAGAAAAGTCTGTCTGTTCTGATCGCCTGGCAACAGTTTCATAGTGAGGCATCACTGGTCCCCCACCCGCCCCCAGACACACAGGAAGTGCCCTCTTTCTAAGACCTCCACCTACCAGCTCAAGAACACAACTGATCAACAGACCACAGAAGCATTAACACACACATACACAAAAACATATACACAGTTATGGAGACATACACTAGTACTACCACAAATGCTGCTCACAATGTCACATACATATTCATATAAACACCCACATTCTCTGTCAAACATACAAAACAAGTGTTATATAATCTGAATGATAAACTGAACTTCCTCAAGTTCATAACTTGACATTAAAACGATACTAAGAATCATGTATCCTTTCATTTCCAATGCACAGATAAGAGTTTCTGATGTATCTGCTTAATACTCACATCAAAATAGGGCCCTGCGTGTTCCAGAATCAGCTGAGTTGAGTCAGGCTTATTCTTACAGTAATTCACATACATCTGAAATTTGTCCGCCTGAAAGGAAATACACATGAAATGGTTTAAACATTTTCGAAGATGCTGTTTTTCGATTTTTAATACCTGTAGTAGTTTTTCTTTTAGGTTGATAAACTGTTAACAGAATGTATTAAATACAAATTGATTCGTAAGTTATAAGAGATATGAGTAAAGTGAATATTTGGGTAAAGCAATTCACTGAAATTGTTTTAAATATACAGTCAAATGCTTCCTGGCTAATTTGTATAATTTTTCTAATATTTCCCAATTGACGGTTTACAGAGTAAGGACATTTCCACAGTATTTATATATATTAATGCAACAGTTCTGTCTGGTCCTCGAATCTGATGTGATATTCTGCAATAAAAGCACTCGTACAGCCTGTTCACTGTTATGCTCTTGTGTATTGTGCCCACATTGAGTGACAGCAAATCAATAAATTTACTACAGTTTGACAAATATTGCAGCTGTTGGACAACACAATGTACTTTTGAGGCTTTTTTAGGTGAGAATGTAGCTGTTTAGATTGCAGCTCTGCAGTTTATTTATAAGGATACTGCATATTTTAAATCTTTATAATTTCAGAGAGACAGTGCGTCTGCGTCCATCAGCCTGTCATACTGAGCAGAGCAAAGACAGTTGATGTTCTACCACAAGATGGCGACAGAGACAGCATAATAAGTCCTTAGGAGAGAAAAAAAGCATTTTCTCAGCAGAAGCAAGTTTCAAACTACAGCTGAAAAAATCATTACAGAACAGGTAAGAGACATTCTAATGCTGTGTTCACACCAGACGCAAATAGACATCCTGCAATGCGATACACACGAATGACGTGATTGAAGTATGAATGAAGCGGCATGAGTTGAGCGATTTCCCACAAACCGCTCGAGGTGGAAAATCTGAAGTTTAGCAGACATTTGCGCTGCGTCATCCAATCAGGAGCTTGCTTTTTTGGGGGCGTGATCATGACGTAGTGCCTGCTGTTTGTGTCCCGTGGGGAAATTCTCTTGCTGACACCAGACAACAATTCATCAAACTAGGCTAGGCTCAGTCTGAAGCGCCGCTGAAAGGTTAAGTTTCTGGTGGAGTTTATGAACTCACATAGATGGATACACCTCTGAAAGGATCTAGTGATCTCAGACATGGCGCCAATTGAATATATACGCTGTTTGTAGCTGTCCTAAAGTGCAAAAACGCAGCTATTTTCACAATAAAACCCATGTTAGCCAGTTATCATCGAAGCTAGAGTCACCGGACAGACAAAAGCCATGCCTATGACTTGAATCCCTATTATTTGTGAGGGGAATTTGATGCGCGAATGAACCGAATTTGACGCGTGAATGAAGCGAGTAAACTCAAAATGTTCATGTGTCTATTTGAAACACAGCAAAAGTCTATCCCTCTCTTTTGTTTGTTGAAGTGCTGTATTTATACTATGGTATTCTGGTGGTGATTGCGTTGCTTAGGCTTTTTCAGGGTTAATTATAGTGAAATTCTGATTGCAACAGAGAAATAATGGAAAATCTTTGTAGACGTTGTTAGTAACAACGTCACTAAAAAGTGACGTTGTTAAAGTTGCAACGGTTTTGGCTGTTTTGACATCAGCTGCAGATGTAAATGAACGACAGAAGAAATAGTTCCTCTTACAAAAGAGGTTTTGATTTTCTTTTTTAAATAAACTTGCCTTCCAGCATATACATTATGCCATCAAACTGTTGTATAAACACAATATCACACTCGTAGCAGTGCGATATGGTCATATCATCACTGGTGGGACACTACACAGTTAAGCCTTTAACCTGTACTTGAAATATTTTCTACTGTCAAAATGGAAAAAGTAAAAAAAAAAATGTTTAGAAGTTATTAAAAACTCTGTTAAACAGCACTTTTGGGAAAAAAATTACAATAAAATTTCCCAGCAGGATAATTTTTTTTACCTTTAAATATACAGTGCTCAGCATAATTGAGTACACTCCATTTTGAAAATGAATATTTTTATATATTTCTCAGTGAATAAAGGTCATATATTTTGGTGCATTTGAACAAAATAAATTTAATAAACATAAATATTTATTAAAATAATATTTTAGTCAACAAACATATTTAGAAATAAAAAAGATAACACAATTACATTCATGCGAAATATTGAATAAACAAATTACAAACTACAGCATTTCAACTAAACTGTATACATTTTTTTGTTTATTTTGCTCGTTTTAACATTTTTCTTTAATATTTTTCTATAACGTAAATTTGGAAGTACTAGTTTTGGACTGTTATAATAAGTTATTTGTTAGATAAGCTCTAAATTTGACTACTGTATTGACTAATCCAATGTACAGTATATGCACAGATATAATATCGTAAAGCTCCTACAGAAAATATTAATTTAAATGAGAGATTTGTGAGGGGTGCACTCATATATGCTGAGAACTGTATGTAATTCACTTGCTTTCCATTGCTTTCTATTAACAAGACTACACTATTTCACATAAATGGAATTAACTATGTCCCTTTACAATCCAAATAGTGCAATAAGATTTTTAAAATGCATCTATTATGCTCAACAAGGCTTAAAGATACAGTAAAATACGATTACAATATTGCATTATTATGCCTAAGCTAAATTTTCAATATCAGAGCTCGCCTGATCCTTCACAAACCAGCAATGCTGATTTGGTGCTCAAGTTACTTTTTAAAAAAAAAATAATTATCACAGGTTACACTACTTAAAAATGACATTTTGAAAAAAACTCTTTATCATCTAAGAATCCTGAGAATATTATTGTTCATTAGTTATTTTAAGTAGCATTTATAAATATTTATGTTTAATCTCTCAGTTTTGAAATAAAGGACTCATTAAGTGATATCATATGTAAATAATATATAACTTTTATAAAACGGTGTATGTACACTGTAAGTGCAGTAACCCAGATATATGTGCTAAGGATCTGATTTAATATCAACATAACGCCAGCGCGCTTCGTGATCAGATTATCTCCAGCACACTGACACACTCACCCATGTGACAAAACAGTGACCCACATCCTCTGGAAGCTGCTCATATTTTTCCAGTTCTTTAAGGAAAATGCTGAGAAAGAGAGGAAAGCAACAGTAAGGAAACAATGGATGTTAAATAAATGAAATTATTATTTACATTAACTTCACTGACTTGTGATGGAACTCGTATAGATCTTGCATGTTGCCAAAAATGATGTGCTCTTTGTTGACAATCCCTGGGGGAATCTCCTCCACGCCACTGCTCATCTCCCAAAGATAAGTCTAAAACACACAAACACACTTGCAGTTACAATTCTGATAACAAACTAATGCTATTAATAAATAAAAAACATTTCGGTGCAAATTCCCAATGTGTATTTTTTTTTGTTTTGTTAGCAAAGCCCATCTTCCAATGATCCAACCGGCTCCAAAATAAGAAAATCAAGCACCGCCATACATTTTTTATACTTCAGAAACCATATCAAGTAGATGTACGTCAGAAAAAAGGACAACCTCAACTTTAGTCAAGGACTATAGAATACACAAGACGTGTCACTTGTATAGTTTTGAATGGGGAAAAGTGTAACGGTCAATACGGTGAATGAAGCCCCGCCTTCTAGTATAGGAGACAATCATCAATCTCTATAATCTCTGGAGGAGGGGCTTGGAACAGAGTTTCTGCAGATTTTGTGCGATTAGAACATTTAGAAATGAAACTAAAGAGTCAGTTGTTGTTTAATTTTATTGGCGCTTCCTCATATGAAATTTAATAGTAAGATACATAAATATGACTTTGACATGCTAAAATTACTTGATTTAGATGTTGTGTTGTGTCCACATGCCTTCTCATTTATTTCACTGTTTGTGTGTGTTGTGTTTGAGCTTGCTCAATGTGCATGAGCAAATGGGTTGTGTCGCATTGCAATTAGTTTTTATTTCACACGACTTTTCAGGGCTCAAAACTAAGGATTTAACAAATGTATCTCTTACCACATCAAAAATAAATAAAATATTATTACTTTGCAAAATAAATGTCAAAAAAATAATAAATAATCTGTCAAAAAAATAATAAATAATATGTCAAAACAAGCCAAACATAGCTGTATACATGCTTTTTAAAATTCAACTAAAGTTTTCTTTAAAAAAAAAAAAAATTACATTTTAAAAAGAACTATTGACATGTATCCAAACTATGCAAAGTAATCTGTCCTGGCTAAAGGTCCCAAATCAGCAGTTACTACACATAAATGAGAAGTTAATCTCATATTAAAGCAATGTTTTTGTAAAAAAATTAAATTAAAATTAAATTAAAATTAAAAATTAAAATTATTTTTTTTAATTAAAATTAAATTAAACCATAATAACAAAAATAACTCTAAGCAAAAGAAAGCAGGCACGTGCACATGGTTAATGTTATGTAATTAATACTTATATAACTATTAATTATATAATTATATAATGTTAAAAATCTGTTAAAATAATAATTAACAAAAGCAGTAAGCGCTGCTGCTTATATAATGTTTTTTCTATCTTGAGCTTTTGAGACCAGCGGCTGTGGGTGCACGGTCATCGCTTTTTGTCCAGTCTATTTCATAGAGAACCGATCGCACCAGTTGCGCTTCCTCTAGGCATGGTTGCTTTGCGCAAGTAAACGGGAGCGCGCACGCTTATTAACAGTCTTGTGCGCACGAGTGATCATCCTCTCATTTGGTATTTAGTATCTGCCTTCTCTTGTTCGTGCGAACACAGTTATTTTTGTCAGTCGTGCTGCTGCTCGATTCTAAGATCACATTTGCACATTAGGCCATGCTTATTGCCATTCCATAATTTAAAGAAAACTACAATTTGAAAATTATTTCAACCAGCCAAAGTGGCTAGTGAGAGTGTCTGTCTAACCCGCCACAGCTCAAATCGACGAGCATTTGGTGGGTTGGCGGGTGTTAATGTAAAGCCCTGTAAACAAGTATGCTTACTTAGCATGATTCTTAAATATCTGCAAACATATGCTTGCATTTTTATACTTTAGAAAAGTCAGAAATATATTTAAAAAGTATTCTTATATTTAAAATGGCATACCCTAAAATGTGCACACTAAAAACTAGCATTTTTTTAAACAGATTTATAAGGTTCATTTGAGCATGAGACCAAACAGTAGCTACTGCTGCTTGTACTGTAGTGCAGTGAATATATTTATAGCGCAGAGCTTTTGTGATTTGTCCAGAGTGGACGTTGGTGCACCACACCCTTTAAATGTTGCTGTCTGTTTTGAGTAGCCTGTGACAACACTTACATCCATACACTCCCGCAGATCTCGCACATATGCCTTCTCAGTCTGAATGAGCTCTGCCATTATAAACCTGAAAGAGAGAGAGAGAGATGTAACAGGGAAATGTACCAGAGATCTATTGTCAGTATTTGTTTTAAAGCACAATGCTTCTGGGAGGAGCTTTAATTTAGTATACCCCACACCCCCCCAAAACAAAACAAAACAAACACAACATTCAGTTGAAGCCAAAATTTTTAGCCCTCCTGTGAAATTTGAATTGTTTTATTTGACTTTAACTGTATATATACATGAAAATAAATAATGCAAGGGTGACAAACAGAAGCACACACTGCCACTTTACCTCCAAAATAAAACAAAATTTCGATCTATAAGGTCTTCATCAGGTCAACAGGTCAGTGAACTCTGTTGTTATCATATGAACAGGTTTAAAAAGACATACTCTTTTCTGCGAGCTGATTTGCGTTTCTCTTCATTCAGTTCGTGGTTGACATCTCTGAGTTTGACCTCTGCTCCAGGAGCACTGGCTGGAATAATGTCCAACTGCAGATCTTTACTCTGAAATCCCCCCCACAAAAAAATGTTTTAGTGGCTAGAAATGTTTTTCAAATGTTAACATTATTATTATTGACATTAAATATATTGTTCATCCACACTCTGGCCATGCAGGCCTTATCAACACACCCACTCTCACAGTCCTTCTCACCGCTTTGTTGGAGTCAGTGGACAGGCCGAGCGCTTTCTCCAGGCAGGATCGGTACTTGTCCATGCGGAGGGAAAAGTCACGGTAGCGTTTGTCCACGGACGCGACCCATTTCTGAATCTCGCTGGCATGGGCGTGGCCCTTCTCACAAAAACCATCAGCCAGCTGGATCAACAACTTCACCCGCTCTTTGGTTTGCTATGGAGAGAGAGAGAGACATACATTGATTTAGAGACGCGTGTATGAGTGTAAACATCACCAGGGAACTGTATTGTGATTTGCTGTGATGGCTAGTGAGTTAATAAAGCTGTGACTTGCTTAGAATCACTGTAGTAGAATAATGTTAGACATGAAGAATTAAAAAAACAGTTCACCAAAAAAAAAAAAAAAAAAAAAAAAAAAACGACGGTCATCCTCATATATTAACATATCAACGAAAAAGCAAAGAGATAATAAACAAAGAACTACAACAACAAAACAATAACAAACAAATGCTCTTTTTTTGGCCTTCTACCCTTGTCCTTTCATTAAATTAACAACATTTATGAGGAAAGGAGTGAAATTAGTCCAAATGTTTTTCAAACTCATACATTACCTTTTATAATACAAAAACATTAAAGGTGCAGTGTGTATGTTTGACACCCAGTGGTTGAACTAGTTATTGCACGCCTGGTTAAAAACACATTCTAGCGCAGGTTGCCAGATTGACAACACCAACAGCAGTGTGCCTGACTGTCAAGCCTAAAGGCTGATTAAAGCCGTGTTCTAAATAAAAGCAGTGACATGTGATAGAAGGAATATTTTCCATATTAAAAGAAGATTTTTTTTTTTTTCTAACCAACACCTGAAATTTAGATTTTAAAAACTTTGATAATGATCACCTCAGGTACACATCATGTGCTTTATTGCTTTGATTTAATTGTGTTTAATACTAATAATGTGAGTTTGAATGCCATTTTACATGACATTTATTGCCATACTACTGAAAGCAGCAGCAGATGGTTCACCTCAGATCTTGAAAATAAAATAAATCATTTAAAGTTGAACTAAAGCCAACACTTACCATAACAATGTTAAAGAGGTTTAATATGTATTAATTAGATTATAAACCCTACTATTTTATTGGAGTGCAATAAGTACACTAGTGGTGAGTGGATGGCAGTTATATCTGAGGGCGCTCCGGATAATCCGATGGTCGGGTGGGTTTGGTAACAAAAAAATACGTTATGATTTATTGTGAGTGGGTCGCATCTGGATGTAGCAGGACATTGCAGTGGACCAGTGAAAAAGCAGAGAGTGGGCTTTGCAGAATGAGAAGATGAGATGCCCAAAATAATGGATGAAGTGCAAGAGTACTGTTCAAACTTTCAGTTAGAGGGCTCAGAGGAAAATCTGCTTATCATTCTTGGAGAAACAAGATGGCTTATTTACATGACTGCAGCACCTTGCAAGGAGAATCTTGTGCATTACAACAAGCAGTGCGAGCGAACGCTCATTCAGTGCAGCTAGCTGCGTTTTGGAGGCGAGGCGGAGTTGCCCGAATTTAAGCACAGTAGATGGTAGTCTTTTTTTGCACAGTGCAAAGAAAAAGGCCAAGGAAACATACCATAGCAGCCGTTAAGTGGCACCCTTTTTGTTATCTTGTTCTTGTATCTGTAAAAGCTAAAATGTCTTATTTTTACTTTCTGTATCTATTTAAAACTGAAGAAAAGGTTGTCTTAAAACAAACTTTTGTTTTTGTAAATAAATGTTTATTTAAAAACGTTTGTAATTAACATATTATTTTACTATCAGAGATGCGCAGATTAGCTCACTGAAACTGCTGTTGATATCCACGGTGACCTATCATCATGCCTAAAACAAAGAATTAAATGAATAAAGTGATGATCGGGTGCGGATATATATATATATATATATATATAATCAGCTTCTCTAAAGTGCACTATTCTGTGCTTCGGAATGGCAGTATTTAAATGTGTTTCATCTGGTGCAAACAGCCAAATCACTGCAAATCTCATCAAGTAGCGTGTTGTTAGGGCACTAGGTTACAATGTAACCTGCTCGCCTAATGTTTACGTTCAAAATATTTACATTTGCTAATTAATAACCACCTTATGTGGAACTCTGAATCTGCGTCTCACTTCGGAGTCTGCTACTGTCCCCCGGAGGTCACATTACACTTTAAAAAGCCTTCTTGACTGAATGAATCAAATATGTTGTTTTCTAGCAAGGCAACCAGGGAGGCTGAAATATAATTGGCTAATCTGGCATTGGGCGGGTTAAATGACCATAACAAAGCCAGCCGTTCCGGCACGTAACTCACATTTTCAAAGCAGAATATTTGACTTCAGCATGGTTTTTCAGATAAACAAGAATGTTCACTAGGCTTGTTTCTTAAATATCGGCAAACATATTACAGTATTTTTATTCTTTAGGAGAGTCAAATACTTACATACAGCACCTTTAACTTAGTAAAGTATAAGTGACATGGGGAGGGGTAAAATCTTTATAAAAGAATCTTTCCGCAAGTAGAAGGTCATTGGGCAAATTCTAGGTAGCGTTTTTTCAAATACTATGAATTCAGACAGACTATATAGATAACCTTAGTCTATAGACCATTTGATGTCATTGGCCTATAATCATTTGCTGCTTGTTGTAAAACTATTCCAAATCTGTAACAAGAGGCAATTCAATCATAACTTGATGTTATAACAGCTATCATAACATTATTTATCAATATGTGGAACTTTTTGGACTCTCAGAAGCTATGAAAATTTAAATTGTAAAACAGGTAATATGTCAGAACCATAGATTATATAGACTTGATAACCACACATCATATTATGCACTACAGGATTACAAAGACAGGAGAAAAACCTTGGCTGTAATCTGGAATTCCTCATGTTCTTTCAGCAGTTCCTGTGTGTGGTGTATAGTGGAGCCCGTGGAGGTGTGTGTGGACAGGTAAAACTCTCCTGTGTCATGGATCCACTCCAAAGCCTGCAGAAACAAAAAAGTGACAAGTCAAAATATGAATATGAAATGTGAATATAGGTATTTTACTAACATTTTGAAACTCAAAAGAACAGCACTTAAGGGACCAAACAATGGGTCTTAAACAAATTAGCGCATGAAATGTGCATACGGACATTTTCACGAATAAATCATGATTCTTCATACCAAAATGAATTCAACATGTATGAAAAAAATCAAGAACAACTTAAACCACACATAAAGTAAACAAGAGGCCTTATAAACGTATACAATTCTCGATATAATTATGTTATTTCAGAGTGACTGAAAAGTAACTAGACAATCGTTATCGAATAAAAATCTATATTAGAGTGTATATATAAGGCCTTACATGGTCTGGTTTGGCCATGTATTATGCAAATTACTCCACTACAAATACACTAACAGAAAATTGAGTTTTAGAACAAACTCATGTACGTAGGAAAGCTTCAGAGAGAAGTTCAAATTTGCATATTAATATGAAAAATGTTCCCAATTATTAGTGAATAAGACCAATCGCCTTTATATTGATATACTGTAGTATTAAGGTGCAGTCATGCATATATGGAGAGTTGATTTGCAATAACAGATACACTAACTACATTTTATTCATTTTGATAGATCATGTTTTTTTTTTACATAAACACAAAATGAACAAGATTGAGTTATTTGTTTTGTGGTCATACTTTATTATAATGGGTCCTTGACACAATGTAACTATACAGTTAACTACTGAGTAATGTTAATTAATGATTTGTACTATATGGTTGGGGTTAGAATATGGGTTGGGTTCGGGGTCAGTTGCATGTAATTATGCATGATTAATTGTTATTACTGTAGTAAGCACATAGAATGTGTCACAAAGACAAGTGTTACCCTTTTTTTTTTGCTAATAACCACTTCATAGAAATATGGAAGTGTGTGGATAGTCATGTGTATATGTTATATTCTTATGCATCCATGAGAGGGAGCAAGATGTTTAAAAGTACTCCAGCACATTTGCAAGCACACTCATATTATTTTCATAACATTATTTCAGTCAAATCGTTAAGTGATTTCAGAACAAATATATTTGGTTATTTGGTGTTGCATTATATGCAGGTTTGTCACTAATATTGACTGACAAAGTTTTTCTGGTGGAGCACTTTGTGGTCAAACTAGAGTCCTTACTGTCAATTACTAAGTATTTAAACAGGGAACGAAAAGAGGAATTCTAATCCTGTACTAGATGTCCCGAAACCATATACTGTAATTATGCAGCATGACACAATTTGTTCTTTAAAAGTATGTATTAAAAAAGTCTTTTCGTTTTTTTAGGCACCGTAATACGGTCAAAAATTATATTTAAGTGTTCTAGAAAGAGCTAAAAAGGCTATACTTTTATTTATACAAGTTTATATAGAAGTCAAGTTAGACCACTGAATGCCTGACCGGACATGCTTCTGTTATTTGAGTGTGCAGAAATACTTGTTGTGTGGTGTGTGGTTGTGTATGGCATAAAATAATTTAATCTATAGATGGTAGGCTTTGAAGTATGTATTTCTGTCTGTGAAAATGTATGTTTAAAGGAAGTTTGAAAAGTTTCTTACACTTGATTTTTAATCTTTTAAAAGCTTTATATACACTCACCGGCCACTTTATTAGGTACACCTGTCCAACTGCTTGTTAAGGCAAATTTCTAATCAGCCATTCACATGGAAACAACTCAAAGCATTTAGGCATGTAGACATGGTCAAGGCAATTTACTGCAGTTCAAATCGAGCATCAGAACGGGGAAGAAAGCTGATTTAAATGACTTTGAATGCGGCATGGTTGATGATGCCAGACGGGCTATTCAGAAACTGCTGATCTTCTGGGATTTTAACGCACAACCATAACTAGGGTTTACAGAGAATGGTCCGAAAAAGAGAAAATGATATCTCTAAAAAAACACATCAAACCTTGAGGAGGATGGGCTACAGCAGCAGAAGACCACACCGGGTGTCACTCCTTTCAGCTAAGAACAGGAAACTGAGGCTACAATTTGCACAGGCTCACCAAAATTGAACAATGGAACATTGGAAACATGTTGCAGGGTCTGATGAGTCTCGATTTCTGCCGCGACATCTGCAATGCCACAGCCCACCTGAGTATTGTTGCTGACCATGTCCATCCATTCCTTAATGACCACAGTGTGCCCATCTTCTGATGGCAACTTCCAGCAGGATAACGCGTCATGTCATAAAGCGCGAATCATCTCAGGCTGGTTTCTTAAACATGACAATGAGTCACTGTACTCAAACGGCCTCCACAGTCACCATACTGTACATCAATCTAATAGAGCACCTTTGGGATGTGGTGGAATCTAAGATTCGCATTATAGATGTGTAGCCGACAAATCTGCAGCAACTGCATGATGCTAACCAGTCAATATGGACCAAAATCTCTTGGAAATATTTCCAGTAGCTTGTTGAATCTCTGTTACGAAGGATTAAGGCAGTTCTGAAGGCAAAAGGGGGTCCAACCCAGTACTAGTAATGTGTACCTAATAAAGTGGCCAGTGAGTGTACAGTATACACTACTTCATATATAAAAACTGGATCCCTAACCAAACAGAAACGTCAGGGTCCAGAAATGTGTACACCCAAATTAATTTGTTATAGTAAATAAAATGTTAATAAACAGAAAAAATCAAGAAAAAAATACAATATATATATATTTTTTTGCAATAACTCAATTGAATTTAAATGTATTACCTTCCAATTCCTAAATATGTTAGGTGACCAAATTGTAACTGTAATGAGTATAACCATTTAATACAACTGTTTCATTTAAAGGACTCACAATATATTGACTATATTCACTGAGACATGTATAAAATATTCACTTTTGTTGGTGTACTCATTTACATAAAAGCGTTTCAAAATCACAAGCTCCACTTGCTAGTTGTGAAAATTCCAAATTCATAGTGCTTAGTTTTGAGATGTTTAACATCACAAAGATTTTGATAGATTAACATCTTACACAACACATGGGGCCTAAAATGGTATACATTTACACTATGTTTCAGAATTATAGCCATGATTTCACTGTAATAATGCAAATTTAACATTAATGATATACAGTATGTGTCTGAATTTGTGTCTGTTGAATTGAGCCACTGTCTGTGTATAAATGTAGAGTATACAGTATGTGTACATGTGCGTTCTTGTAAAGATTGTGTGTTTTTTTTTTAGAAATACTGTAATAAATCACAATTAGATAAGTTTTCTTTAAAACAAGCCAAATAATCTGCCAATAGGTTCAGCGAAATACACTACCTGACAAAAGTCTTGTCACCTATCCATGTTATAGGAACAACAAATAATAGCTTGACTTCTAGTTGATCATCTGGCATCATATAGGTGGCTTATATTAAAGGCAAAGGCCTCTAGATCACGTTTATTTTAATAAAATAAAATATGATCATGCCTGGATTTCTAATTCTTTAATTAGGACAGTAAGGTCTAACTTTGCTTAGACAAAAGTCTTGGCACTTAACAGAAATAATGTAAACAATATAAAGTCATGCTGCAGTGGAAAAAGAATGAATACTGTATATGACTCCCATGAGCTTGGAGGACTGCATCCATAAATCTCCGCAATTACTCAAATAAATTATTATTAAAGTCATCTGGGATGGCAAAGAAGGCTATTTGCAGGACTCCCAGAGTTCATCAAGATTCTTTGGATTAATGTTCAACGCCTCCTCCATCTTACCCAGACATGCTCAATAATGTTCATATCTGGTGACTGGGCTGGCCAATCCTGGAGCACATTGACCTTTGCTTTCAGAAACTTTGATGTGGAGGCTGAAGTATGAGAAGGAGCGCTATCCTGCGGAAGAATTTGCGCTCTCCTGTGGTTTATAATGTAATGGGCAGCACATTAATACCTCAGGCTGTTTATGTTGCCATCCATTATTTTGCTTACCCCATTGGCAGATTATTTAGCTTGCTTTACTAAAAAAACTCACTTAGTTTTGACATATTATTTCTGAAAACATTCTTTTTACTTATTTCGACAATGCTTCTTGATATACACACACACACACACACACACACACACACACACACACACACACACACACACACACACACACACAAACATATATATATATATATATATATATATATATATATATATGTATGGAAAAGAAAAAACAAAAAAAAACACAAAATGAAAAAACAAAAAAACTGTAAGTAAGTAAAAGACAAAAAAAAAACTGTAAGTAAGAAAAGCATTATTTGTAGTGCACTTAAATAAAACGAGCCCCAGTCTGCTGACAGCTCTACTTTTGGTACTAGCTCAGATCTGGAGCAGTACTAACCTGTTTGGCGCTGCGCTCAAACACCACATACTGCTGACACTGGTCAAGCCTCCTCTTCCTCATGGTCCAGAAGTGCAGAACCCGGTTCTCTCGCTGTAGCAGCTCATTCAGGATGTCTGCAGGACACAGGGATGTGTTCAAAAAATGTATAATCCAATAAATAAAAGATTGAAAAGAAGGATAATAGACTCACTTTTGACTTGTTGTTCTGGGGCTTTGACATGTGCAAGCATTCCTGGCATGTTCACGCTGTTTCTGTGTAAATACTTGAGGAAGACATCAGCATTGCGTCTGGCTAGTGTGCAAGCCTGCAGAAAGAGAGAGAAATAATTTATGATTTGAGTACACTATAAAAAATACTTTTCTTAGAGTTTTTGTTTTTAGTCCAAATATTGAAATATTTTTAAATAAAGAAGCATTTTATAGAAAAGCAAAGATTTTGTCTTGTTTTCAGAAATAATATGTCAAAATTTACTACGTTTTCCCCAAGCTGCAACCCCCTGCTCTCCTTGGTGAAGCTAATACGGAAATAACTGAAACTGCAATTCATTGAAAAGCCACTGTGGCTTGCTCCAAAACAGAGCAAATTTCTATTGACTCTAATGTTAAAATGCTTAGGGCTCTATTTTGATGGTCCATGCGCAGAGCGCAAAACGCAGGGCGCAAACGCTTTCAGGGCGTGTCAGGATGCATTTTTGCTAATTTAAGGACGGGAAATCTGCCTTGCGCCGTGGCGCATGGTCTAAAAGGGTTGAGTTTATTTTCTTAATGAGTTATAGGTGTGTTTTGAGAATAAACCAATTAGAGTCTCATCTCCCATTCCCTTTAAGAGACAGCTGCTTCGCGCCATAAGCGCATTTGCTATTTACAGGACGCAAAGTAAGTCTAAGTGGAAAAAAATGAGCATTTCACAAGCAAACAGTTAACAGTTAACAGTTTTTTTTTTACAGAAAACTGTTAAACAGAGCATCAACTGCGTGAGAATGAGAGATAATGGATCTACTTTCACTTTCATTCTTGGATAGGGAAACCTTTACGCACAGACATCAATTAGTCTATAAATAAATACTTTTGTTTGATAAGCGCAAATATTTGTTTAAAAACTATTTCTAAATTCAGTTCTAATTTCTAGCAAACGAATAAATGAATAATAATAACAAAATGTGCTCAAAAACCTGAGTTATATCCTAAAACACATGCTGTGCCCCATATGGTCTAAAACCTGACAGGTGGGCAAATCTAAGCTTGTTTTTAATAAAACAAATATTAATATTGATATAATAAATAATACTGCTAATAATAATAACATTATACAAAAGCAAATTGTTATGAATGAACTGAAAAAGCCTTCCGAGATGAAGAAGACATGAAAGCAGTGTTTTTTTATATTTATGTAGGCTAGAAAATAATATGTTTATTAATATTTTAATCCTTTATATTTATATTCTATATCTATTCTTATTATATCCTATATATATCCTTAATATTTAAATTTTTTCATATGTAAAGATATTTGCCGGAGTTTAGACCGGGTTTGTTTTGGTCTAATGAAAAATCTATTATAGTTTCTCAAAATAGCAACGCGCCAGCGGTCCGCCTCAGAAAGCCTCCCTTTTTAGACCAGAACGCCTATGGGCGCACAAATGAGCGCTAATGCATTTGTTATTTAAACAGCGTAGCACAACACCTGAAAACGACTCTTGCGGCAAGCTGAAACTACCAAAAGACTACTGCGCCACGCCTTACGCCACACTGCGCCGGGTGTATGATAGGGCCCACAACTTTACAGCGGAAAAAAAGAGTGTTTACAGAATGGTTTAAAAAATAAAATAAAATAAAAAATAAAAACATGATTTTGTTGTGTATATCTAGTATTATCCATTATGACAACTGTGAGGGAGGTAAATTAGAACTACATGAATTTGTCTATGGTTTTCCCCTATAAGAACCAAAACAATCTATCATGTTTTTTTGCTTTGAATTAATCTTACTTTGCTTTTGCTAGTTTTAATGTAAAACTAAAAATGTGTCAGAATGTTAAATTCTGACACATTATTAGTGAAATAAGACAATAATTTTCACTTGTCTAGAAAAAGCTTCTTGACCTAATTTGCACTAGTAACAAGACAAATATTCTTACTAAGAAAATATTCTGTTATTATCAGTAGCTTTGGAAGAATTAGTACCTTTAGAAAGGCCTCCTTCTGCTCCAGGTGTTTACTGACCATGGGTGTCACGTGGTCAGACTCAGAGTTTGGTCCCAGTTTATCAGTTCCTCCACACCAGTCTTCCTCTCGCTTGTATTCCTGCTCTAAACTTTCCAGTACACTACACACCTGCAGAACACACACATGTAGGTATATATAATAAATGTAAGATAAAATAAACATGCATATCTTATAGCTCTAAAAAGAAAATTACACACACACACACACACACACACATATATATATATTATATTCCAAAGAAATCCGGCACAAAACATAAGTATGTTGCAAAAGTTCCATAATATTATTATGATTAAAATAAACTGCAAAATGTGACATGCCATGATGTAAAAATGTCAGCATAAGTAAAAATTGACATCCTAATTGTGCAATAAAAAGTCACAAGTATGACATAAAAGTGCTCATTATTAAGGAGACTAAACAATCTCATGAGTCTACAGTTCATGACTATGATTTAAAAGACATAACTATGAGATACTAAGTCAAAATTCTGGTCACATTTGTTTGGCCATAATTACTTTTTATGTCAAGTTTTCTTTTACATTTTATGTAAAAATGTATTATATTCATTGTAATTTTATATAAACTGTGATTTTAATAATAAATTGTTGACAAGATATCACTTTAATATATACATATTTAAGAACTAAAAAGTCAAAGTTATGACATAATAAATCATAATAGCTATGCCATTAGGTAAACGTTTCAACACAAGTAAAAATGAACAAACACACAGTTGTGTGATAGCAAGAGAAACAGCAATCAATCTCTTATGAGTGTCTTAAATGTCATAATTACTATGAGATACTAAAATTTTAAAACTCAAAATTCTCAAAATTCTGTTCATTTTTTTCATGATGACTTTTTATATGATCATTTTGATATTTTAAGATATAAATAATTAAATAATATTTAAATAATTAAATAATTATTTATAATTATTATAAATAATATAAACAACCACAAAGTACAGTGACACTTTTATTTTATTTTAAATAGTAAATGCCAAAAATTAAAAAATGAAATAGAAAAAGACATGTTCTTCACATTTAACATATCCTAAGAGCAAAACAAATACTGTATGACTAAAAACTTCAATGCGTTATTTGTAGTCCTAAAAAAAAACAATGCATACAATTCCAGGCTCACTATGTAGGCAAGCTCTCTGACCTGCTCTGATGTCTTGTAGAAAGCCACGGAGGCATTGACTAGTTTTAGGCGGTCCTCCATCTTCAGCATGAGCTGCTGCCAGTGAGATGCCACCTTCTCCGCACAGTCACGGATCATGTCCATGTCGTAGTGATTGGCCTGTAGTAGAGCCTCTGCCTTCTGCTGGACCTGTAGTGCACTCTGATGGGTTTTCTGCAAAGAAAGGAGAGGAAAGGAAAAGGAAAGTTAAAGTGAAAGAGAAAGCAAAAAAAGAAGAAAAAATACCTGGAAAAACTGTTTTTTAGCTTAAAGCACCACTTTTAATAGAAAGTGGAATTACTCATTGTACTAGAAACATTTTTATCAGTCATGAAGTCATATATAATAACAAAATTATTAGCCCTCTTGCATGTCAATTTTTTAATTATTTTTATAAAAAAATGGAAAAACATTGGCTTCTCTGATGAGAATTTCTGCTGCGACATTCGGATGGTAGGGTCAGAATTTGGCATCAACAACATGAAAGCATGGATCCATCCTGCATTGTATCAACGGTTCAGGCTGCTGGTGGTCGTGAAATGGTATGTGGGATATTTTCTTTACACACTTTGGACCCATTAATCCCAATTGAGCATTGTGTCAACCCCACAGCATTACCTGAGTGTTGTTGCTGACCATGTAAATTCTTTTATGACCAGTGTACCCATTTTCTGATGGCTACCTCCAGCAGGATAACGTGTCATGTCATAAAGTTTGAATAATCTCAGACTGGTTTCTTGAACATGACAATGAGTTCACTCAAATGGCCTCCGGAGTCACCAGAACTCAGTCCAATAGAGCCCCTTTGGGATGTGGTGGAACGGGAGATTCGCATCATGGATGTGTAGCCGTCAAATCTGCAGCAACTGTGAGATGCTATCAAGTCAATATGGAGCAAAATCTGTAATCTAAAATAATTCCACTCTCAGGCATCCATGCTTACTCTGCAAATGACGCCATTAACAATTGATGTGGCAGGACAGTGCAGGGCTTGTTTGCATAAAAGTCCTTAACCAAAAAAATCCCCAAGTTTGAAGGTTAAGGGTACCCTTAGTAAAACTTGGGTTGCAAGACGAAAAAAAAAAAGATCAACTTAAGAAATTTAAAGTTGCCATTAAATATTTTATCTTAGTCTTTAGTAACTATTTCCTCCTAAAACATTTAAGGGACCTAATCATCTCCCTTAAAATAACAAATGACACTCAAAATTCAAACACTTTCACCCAAATAAAAATGTTTTAGATAAAAGACTCAAAATATAAATAAATAATTTATTAAAACCATTTAATAAATAAACTAATAAATATGTGTTTATAAGTACGTCTGCGCAGGAGTGCATCCACATGAAATCACAGTTTCAGTCCAGCTTCAAAAGTTTCTACATGATCCTGCCCACTTTTATAGGTCCTACATACTGTCGATAAGGGAACGTCTCGCGTAACGGTAAGAAGACGGCACAGATGATGTGTACTGCATAGCTGTTTTAAGGCAAGCATTCGTGGCTCGTTACGATCAGTCTACATACTCATTCGTGAAGGAGTTTTTTGGGTACCTCAATAGCGTGCTGAAATTGCTCATGTTCCCGCTGCAGCTGTTCCGCCTCTTGCAGTGAGCTGGCTGTGATCAAACCGGCATTGAGCATTGACTCGCCATTACGAATCCAGCCCAGAACCTGAAACAAATTCAAAGAAGATGAATATGTAAGCATACGTTCATTTTAATTTGGTAATTCGCTGTAATTCACAATTCTTAAACTCTCACAAATGCCATTCAACTCAATTTATCTTTATCTCTATAGCGCTTCTACAATATAGATTGTGTCAAGGCAGCTTCACATAGAAGTTCTTGTAAACTGAGTCGGAGTCAAAGGTTAGTTTAATTTAAATTACACTGGTGAAAGCCCAAACACTGAAAAGCCAATCCAACGACTAAAGGGTTAACTCACCCCAGAATTTAAGTTCTGTCATTAACCACTCACCCTTATGTTGTTTTAACCCCTAAGACCTTTCTTCATCAGAACACAATGTAAGATATTTTAGTGGAAATCCGATAGCTCCCTCATCCCCTATTGACAGCAATGGTCCTGAGATGTTCAAAATGCAGAAAAGAACACTTTGTGTGGCAACAAAATAAAAATCAATATGTTCTCAGATCGTCTTATTTTTCATGTCAGGTCAGGGTACATGTTTACTACATACAATTTAATTTAATTCAATTCAATTCAGCTTTATTTGTATAGCGCTTTTACAATGTAGATTGTGTCAAAGCAGCTTCACATGAATGGTCATAGTAACTGGATCAGGGTAGTTCAGTTTTTAGTGTTTAAGTTCAGTTCAGTTTAGCTCAGTTCAGTGTGGTTTAAAGTCATTACTGAGAGTCCAAACACTAAAGAGCAAATTCATCGATGCGTAGCTCTACCGATCCTGAACCATGCGAGCCAGAGGCGACATCGGAAAGGGGAAAAAAAACTTCACCGATAGGAGAGTGAAGAAAAAAAACCTTGAGAGAAACCAGACTCAGTTCGGCACAACCATTTTAATTTCTCCGCTGGCCAAAATTCTTGTGCAGAGCTGCAGTCTCAGCAGTGGAGGCTGGAAGCTGGCCTCAGCGAAGACTCGTCTGTCCCTGGAGCGTCATTGGAATCAGTCTCATACTCTCCACTTCCCCATGACCACCAGTGCAGCAGCAGCTCAGGATACGGCCTGGTCCTGGATTATGGAAACCTTGGGATCATCTCGGCGCTGGTCTTGGATCCAATCAGTGACTCCACATAATCTTAACACATTGCATTCAAAGTCAACAGTGCAATATGCAAGAGTGTATTGCCTAAAGCAATTGCACACCCTGTTCTGATGTGGATGACATGAAAAGTCCTTTTTCAGGTTTTTTGGCACACAAAAGTGTTCTTAGAGATTCAAATGATCAAAAATGTTTTGACACTGAAATGTTTTTTGGTTCCTTTTCTGCACTGTGAACATCTCAAGTGTAGAGGACCATTGCTGTATGTGGAGGATGAGAGAGCTCCGGGATTTTATCTAAATTGTCTTAATTTAGGTTATGAAGATGAATGAAGGTCCTACGGGTTTACAAAGATACGTGGTGGGTAATTAAAATATATAATTTAGGGTGAACTATCAATTATCAATTGAACATTTATGAATTATACCAGTTGAGAAGCAGTAGTTCGGAATCTGCGGGCTTAAACAGTTTAATAGATATCAGAATATTATATTTAGTAGCAGAGAGAAATCTTTAAATTTCCACTGTAAAAAAAATGCAGTGTTCCACACAATTCCCAACACAAATTATTTAAGAAAACTATTAATGATTAAGTGGACTGAACATAAAACCATTATCCCAAAAAAAGTAAAAAAAATGTATTATTTCAGCTCATTTTAAATAAGACATTTGAACAAGAAGAATATATATATATATATATATATATATATATATATATATATATATATATATATATATATATATATATATATATATATATATATATATATTTTTTTTTTTTTTTTTTTTTTTTTTTGAGTGTAGTTTAGGTAATCAAACAACTTAACAACAAAGTTAGGCAGTCAAAAGAGAGGGGAAATTCATTCATTCATTCACTTTCTTGTCGGCTTAGTCCCTTTATTAATCTGGGGTCGCCACAGCGGAATAAACCGCCAACTTATCCAGCACGTTTTAATGCAGTGGATGCCCTTCCAGTCGCAACCCATCTTTGGGAAACGTACACACATACACTACGGACAATTTAGCCTACCCAATTCACCTGTACCGCATGTCTTTGGACTATGGGGGAAACCGCAGCACCCACGCGAACACAGGGAGAACATGCAAACTCCACACAGAAACGCCAACTGAGCCGAGGTTCGAACCAGCGACCTTTTTGCTGTTAGGCGACAGCACTACCTACTATGCCACTGCTTTGCCCAGAGAGGGGAAATATGTATAGAAATCTTAAATGTACAAGAGCAAGGTCAAATAGGTTTTGTGGAACACACTGAAAAAAAAAGAAACCATGTCTATGTAATTTGTTAAATTGGGTTAAGTGATAAATTATGGTTTCTGGTTATAAACTTTTTTTTTTCAACTTTAAAAATTTAATTTAAAAAAGTTTATTCATTTTATTTAATATTTTTATTACTTTAGACCAGCAGTTTTGTACTTTGTACTAAAGTAAAAAAACATATTTAGTGTCTCTATTTAAACAATACTTTTACTTTGTGTGATGTATTTTCTTGACCATGATAAATATTTCGGTCCAACTTTATATTAAGTGTCCTTAACTACTATGTACTTGCATCAAAAAATAAATACAATGTACTTACTGTGTTCATAATGTATTTGAGAACACTTGTGGTGCTCTTGAGTTGGGATAGGGGTTGGGTTATGGACAGGTTTGGTGGCATGGGTAGGTTTAAGGGTGGGTTAAAGTGTAGGGAATGGTCAACAGTGTATTTACAAATATAATTACAGCAGTTAATTACAGATGTAATTACATACAGGTATTTAATCAAGCAGAAGTAAACAGTAAATACATGTATTTACACAATAAGTACATTGTAACAAACTATTAAATCATGTGTAAGTACATATTAGTTAAGGCCACTTTATGTAAAGTGGGACCAATATTTTTGATTTAGAATAAATTCAATTTTATAGCTTGAACTCAAGTTAAATTATAGAAAACTATGTAACAAAGCTGTAACAAATGACAGTCATTTTTTTAAAAAGTTAGTTCAAAGCGTAATTTTTTCAGTCCAAATTTCACGCAAGACACTTTGACTAACATTTGAAATGGAACTGAATGATAGAGAAACAGTAGAAATTATGCAATCCTGTCTTTGCAGTTAATAAAACAAAAGTTGTTTAGTGAAATGAGCTGAGACATGTAAACATCTGGTGTGTTGTAAACAGTCGAGTTGCATCAGTCGTGGAAAGTGACGCCATGTATCTTTGACTCCACCTTTAGGCCTAAATTCCACACCGTCTCCTTACTGACTCACATTTAACACACCTGCTTTAGTCCTGATACACTGCCAGTGACAGCTAACAAAACTATGCTCCTTGAAAAAAATGTTTGAAAAAAATTGTGCACGCACACACTTTCCCTGTAAAGCTACAAACATGATTACATGTCTACTAACTATCAAACACCCACTCAAATACCCTGTGGCCGTGTCGGGCCTTTAAACCACACAGCTTTTCAACATATCTAATCATTGCTTTCCTCTGGAGCAGTCTGGGAAAAAAAATAAATATATAAATAATAAAATGAATAAATGAAAGGATGAAATGAGATTACCAGCTGCTCCTCTTGGCCTAGTTTTTCCTCCTAGCTTTATGCGTGCCCAGTGCTGTACGTGTGCCCTGTTTCCCATCATTCCCTGTGTGCACTCCACGCTGCCACTCGGAACTTATTAACACTACTCTGTATTATAATGGTAACATCAATAAGATATTATATTATATTATATTATATTATATTATATTATATTATATTATATTATATTATATTATATTATATTATATTATATTATATTATATTATATATTATATTATATTAATTATATCATATTAGAACTACGTGACAAAAGTTCCATTTGTAAGAGCAACAAATAATAACTTGACTTCTAGTTGATCATTTGAAAAAGTGTCAGAAAGTAGAAATTTCTGATGAATCATCTGTTGAATCATCCTAATCATCACAAATACTGCAGAAGACTTATTGGAACATGCATGGACCTAAGATTCTCACAGAAACCAGTCAAGTGTGGTAAAGGAAAAATCATGGTTTGGGCTTCATTTAGTATGGAGGCTCCCTTTGTTCACATGGGTTTCCTCTGGGTGCCTTGGTTTCCCACACAGGCCAAAGACATGCTCTATAGGTGAATTGATTAAGCTAAACTGAACATAGTGTGTGAGAGTGTATGGTGTTTCCCAAAAATGAGTTGCGGTTGCAAGGGCATCCACAGCCTAAAAGATATGCTGAAATTGGTGGTTCATTCTGCTGTGGTGACGTCTGATAAATAAGGGACTAAGACGAAGGAAAATGAATGAATGCTGTTCTGCACACACTACGTCAGGTAGGGATAGTTCATATATAAAATGATGTAATCATTTAATCCCTTTTAACTTGTCTCAATTCTGCATGCATTTTCTTCTGAACAAAAGTGCGTTTGTTCTACTGAGAAATTGTTGTTGTTTTTCTGTGAAATGGTTTCTTTTCATGCAAAGCTGAGATATTATAAGTGTTCAATAATGCAATATGGGTGTAGTTAAAAGCATGCTTTCTTCAAGGCATACCTCTAGCTTTGTTGAATGCTACATGTATCGCTGTTTACGAAAGAAAAGACTAGCTCTGCCTGCATCACATGGACTTAATTATCATTGTTTACTGAAAGAAGACACAGCCTATCAGAGTTACATCAGAGAATGCAATAAGCCTAAGATATGCAAAAAGGCGTCAAAGGTATTAATGTCTGACTTTCAGCCATAGTTTAACCGACATTCATTACTCATGAGTCAGACATTGCTCAGGCACAGACAGAGGATATTCCCACCACTACAGTAATACCTCTATTGCATAATTAATCAGGGCACTTTAAATATGATGGTACATTAGAAGGAACATACACTGTGTTTTTTTTGTTTGTTTGTTTGTTTGTTTGTTTGTTTGTTTGTTTTCTGCTGGACTTAATCAGTTTTAACTTAGTGTTGCGCAATCTGAAAATATTGTTATGGATTTTAAATCTCCTTTCTCCATGTATGTTAATCTGGTTTGACACAAATGTGAAAGCGCTATAGAAATAATGATGAACTTAAATTGAACCCTGGCTCAAATTTAAAGAGCCCCTATTATGGGTTTTTAAAAATGTAACACAGCTCTAAGTGAATGGAAACATCCAGCTGAGGTTTAAATCTGAAAGTGCACCGTGTTTAAAATTGTTGATTCTTGAAAGTCGACACAGAGTCGAATAAATGAATCGACTTGGGTTCGGATCTTTTGCTTAATTGCGTCAATGTCGATACGGTACATCACCAAATATGTAGTTCCAGATCCAGTAAAATGTGAACACGCTTTCACTTCAGACACTAGCAGAGAGCAGGAGATCATGAGATTGATCATGACACTAAGATGACGATCACTGACAGATGGAGATTCGGTTTAGGGAATAAAAGGTTAAAGTTCATTTTCCCAACAATGCCACAGTATAGCTAACCTCAAGCTGTGTTTGCTCCTGTCATTTTTGTGATATTTGATACAATAACCTATGCTGCAGCGCGGGATTTGTTGGCCGTTTACTATTAAAGGAAGGAGCAGCAGAGACTATTATGTATGGGACTTTGTCAGACTTCAATCGGAACTTTGTCAGTAACTTTTACAGTTCAAATGGACCAGTTTCTTCTTCCTCCACATCATAACATGTAAGTGTGATTAAAATTGTTGCCTCGTTTTGTGTAGTTTGCAAAATATGTGTTTAATTGTGTGTTAGAAGTAGTAAATGCCCCTTGCAGCTTGTGGCTTATAGCATATCTATTATAGATCAGTGCTTGTACTGTATCTCTAAGGTTAAACCTTCATGGAGCTGTTCACATATTGCATCCAAAACCACGAACCAAAACGCGACACATATTCCTTTCTTTACTGACTTAAATGCGTTTGTGAGATTATGATCGTCCACCGTTTGTCTTTGCCATGGCCACCATCAGCTGTTCATACTCGCACGCACGATCAATTTTTAAAACAGCTCCACTTTGCCACTGTGTGGATTAATACTAAATGTGTGTCATTGTTATTACTTGGGGTTAAAGCCTGGTTTATACTTCTGCGTCAAGTGACCGGTGTAACCCACGGCGCATGCATCGCCCGTAGCTGTGCATTTATACTTCTGTGCGCTGTCTCTGTTGGTTTGCAATGACACTTCCGAAACGCTAGTGGGCAGTGAGGTCTAAATGTTCCTCTGTGTCGAGTTTCTTCGCTGCTGTTTGCTTTTCCTGAACACTTCCTGGATGTACAAGTGGCTCAAACTCACTCATTTTGAGGCAGGAACCGGCAGACGTGCAACAACTTTAACTATGAGGTAAACACAAAACAAAACTTTCCATCCAGAGCTCCTTTACAGGACTGCACACTTGTAAACAATAGCTCCATTGGGCTACCAAGCCGACCAATCGCAGAGCTTGCGCTACGCGTTGCTGCGACATGTAGTTACATTTTTTGAGAGGTGCACTTCAGTGACGCCGACAGCCACGGCGAAGGGCTATGCGTCAACGCTGTAGCATACGCCGGCATTTGACGCAGAAGTATAAATCAGCCTTAAGTTTAAGAGGATTGTTGTCGGAGTCGTTTGGATAATTAGGTAATAATAAATGCATATTATAAGACAATAAGAGTGTTCATTCATATCAGCCTGTTGTTGGAGACCCCCAAAACCAAAATATGATCTTTTATAATGCAAAATAGGGGCTCTTTAAGCCTACAGTTGAAGTCAGAATTAGTAGCCCTCTAAATTATAAGCCCCTGTATAGATTTTGTATAAATTTCTTGTTTATTGGATAGATTTATTCAACGCATTTCAAAACATAATAGCTTTAAAAACAATTTTTCAATGACTGATTTCTTTTATCTTCACCATATTCAGTTCATAATATTTCACTAGATATTTTTCAAGATACTATAATTCAGCTGATAGCCTATCTTAAAGGCTTAATTTGGTTAATTAAGGAAGGTAATTAGACAAGTCATTGTATAATAATAGTTTGGTCTGTAGACAATCAAAAAAAAAACATTGCTGAGAAGGGTTAATAATATGACCTTAAAATGGCTTTTAAAATGATAATAAAAACTACTTTTAATTCAGAAGACATAAAAACAGTAGTGCAGGTATTAATAGATGCTTAAAAAAAGATGGTTAATAAAAAACTAGTATCAAGAATTTATTCCTGTCTGACATTAACAAAGAAACACTCAATGTAAATAAAACAGAAATGGAAAAAAGTTAACTATTTGGGAAACACAAATGATCACTATTAATTCAAATTTATGGAGGGAATTTACTTGGAAAATGTAATCAGGTTCTTTATAATGTATTGGCAGATCATTTCCACATATTTTATGATTGTAATATTATACACACCTATTGGCAAGATTTAAATAAAGAGATAAATGCAATAATGGGATTGAACAGGAATGTAATTTTAAAACTAAGTACCTGAGAATTTACATTGCAGAAATACCAAACAATGATGTATATCTTCTAAACACACTACTAACAACTAGCAAAAAGGCAATTACAAAGAAATGGCTTAAAGAAGATCCTCCATCTGTAGGCAAATGGTATGATATTGTTAAATAGGAGTATGACTTGGAAGTACTGACATTTACCTTGAGACAACAAGCCTATAAAATTTCGGTAACACTTTACAAATAGGTTCATTAGTTAATGCATTTACTAACATGAACTAATCATGAACAACACATGTACAGCATTTATTAATCACAATTGAACATTTACTAATGCATTATTAACATTCAAGTCCATGCTTGTTAACATTAGTTAATGCACTGAGTTAACATGAACTAACAATGAACAACTGTATTTTCATTTACTAACGTTAACTAACATGAACAAATATAGTAGTAAATGTATTGTTCATTGTTAGTTCAAGTTAGTAAATGCATTAATTAACATTAACTAATGAACATTGTAAAGTGTGACCAAAATTTCTGCATACTGGGCTAAACGGTTGAGAAGAAATGTATTGTTTTAATTTCATTGTGGTGCTTTTACTCTATATTTGTTTGGAGCCTGTTGATCTTTGACACGTAACCCTTTACAAAAGTTTTATATAGCAACATTTTATCGACGATAAATACGAATGTAAATAAGATTGTATTCGGTGACCTTTGACACTTGTATTGTATGTCTTTTTTGTTTCCATGTTCCTTTAAAAATGTCTGTTTGTTTGCTTTTGTTTTGCTGCTTTGTTTGATTTGTTCTAAACTGTTTTGAAAAAGGAAAAAAAAAAACAGCTTTTATTCTAGCCGAAATAAAACAAACAAGACCAGTAGAAAAAATATTATAGGAAATACTGTGAAAATGGCCTTGCTCTGTTAAACATCATTTGGGAAATATTTGAAAAAGAAATAAAATCACAAAAAGGCTAATAGTTTTGACTTCAACTGTATATACTTAGGTCACATGAGAACGAACTGTACGAATGTGCCTGAGTGAGTTCTGGAGTTGGTGGGCAGGCAGACAGGGAAAAAGTCAGTCAGACAGACAGATGGTACCTGTTTGACCTCTGCCTGTAAGTGTCGGAGCTGCACACACTGCTCCAGGTGTCGCCTGTGCTGCTCTGCGGCTGCATCCAGCTCCTGCTGCTTCTCATGCAGGAAATCCAGCAGGTCCTGCACCCGCGTCGCCATGTCAACATCACGGTCGCACAAGAGCTCCACACCTTGACACAGAAAGAGAGAGAAGTGGAACACAAGAATGTTAATAATCATCATATATATAATTGTTTTATATATATAATTGTTTTATATATATATATATATATATATATATATATATATACACACACATATAAAAAAAAAAAATATATATATATATAATACAAATACATAAAGTAAAAGTAAATAAAAAATACTAAAAAATAAATATATAATAAACAAATAAACAAATAAAAATGTTAAAAAATTAAATAAATAAACATTTAAAAATAAATTAATAAATTAATATAAATAAATGAATTAAAAAAAAAAAATATATATATATATATATATATATATATATATATATATATATAACAATTTCCAGTTCAGCTTTTATTCCCACAATGAAAAATTAAACAAACACATTTTCTTTATGACATTTATGACATTATGACACAGTAATACATTCATTGTAGTATTTGTTGTACGTGTCTTAATTCATGCTGTTTTAATGAAAGTAAATCCATTGAAACTTATTTTGGTTATCATTTAATAACAGCAAGAACAACAACTAAATAACTACATTTAGAAAAATCCTCACCAGCTTTTTTTTAATGTTGCTGGTCATTTTTAAAATTTTCACCTAAATGTAAAGGCCATTAAAATGTGTTCTGCCATAATCATCATATTATATATCAGATATATATATATATATAAAACATTTTCTAGAAAACAAATAAAAGCATTTTATTCTAATTATGTGTTCATGTTTCATCACCACATATATGCAGACAAGCTTATTTAAAAATACAAAACTTTTGACAAAAAGAGAGAGTAATGTATTTTTTTCAAAGTAGTGCAGTTTCGTAGAAAAGCTGTATACCTCTTCATTTATATGTATATAAAACTTTATTTTTTTTTATCTGATCTACACTCTCTCTGATTGTCTTTGTACAGTATTTCCTGCAAGTCCTGTAACTCATTCTGGACATGTGATTTGGCTTCCCCTACTGTAATACACCTAGAAAATGGATGTAAAAAAATCTAGTCAATAAAGCAAACATTGAGCAAGTAAATTTTAACATTAGCACAACATACAAAGCAGAGTATGTTGTTAATCTGTGAGCACACTGTGTATCCTGTACCGGGTCATTGACATAATTTACTTCTGCATTCTTTAAATTTTAAAGGTCCGCACTGGCCCAATACCCCCATAAGTGGTTCCGTTCTCTCATCAGTTGGAATAGAATAACTTTTGCATAGATTATGATAGAGACATTTTTCTTTTTTCCTATGATTACTGATATGTACAGGAACCACCAAAATTAATTACAGCAACCTAGACCCTAAAAGGTACCCATTCAAATTTGAGTTTACAATTTTTTTTAAAGCATCTCTTTTTTTGGGCGTTGAGGCGTTTATTATAACACAGACAACATATACAGTTATTTTAATAACTTTCAACAGTATTTTATGAAATTTTTTTATTCATATCAAACTTTTGCATTTACACATCTGCATGTGGATTTGGGAAGCTTTTGATTTTGGGTAGACAAAATCCAGGCAGAAACCCCAAAATAGCACTTTACTCTAAAACGTTAAAGATTTTTTCAAGCCTGAGAGTGCCTGCGATTTTTAGCCAAGACATCAGCTGACCAAAACAAAGATCTGATTTAAGAATACAGCCAAACAGAATTTTTTTTTTTTTAAATACCATTAAAACAGTAAAGTAAAGAGATGAGGGATTATACATATTTATTTTAGTTTGATTTAAAGGAGTGGTCCACTATGATATCATATTTTATCACATTTAGTTGATGTGTAACGTAGCTGTTTGAACAAACAACATCCCTGAATTTAAGCTCGTAGTTCAATGCAAAGGGAGACATTGGCTTGCATTTGAGTTAGCTTATCAAAGCCTTCAGCGAATGAAGTTTGGGGACTACAAAAAAAAAAAATACATCCGGGTTAACGATGTCATAAACCATTCAGATTACGCACATTCACCCCATGCAGCGAAGGGGTGTGGCCAGAGGCGCTGTAATGCTATAACTGCGAATTCCATCACATTATGTTAGCTGACCAATCAGAGCCTCTTGAGGGCGGACCTTTCAGAGGTACTAGCAAATATGACAGTCGTTTTCATGTAAGCTGAGTAGCTGTATATAAGATATATAAAGATATATGAAAAAATAACAATTTTTTTTTTCAAATGAAGCATGAGCTTCAAGACATTGCTTTGCACCCCATAAACACAACCAAGGCTTAAAAATACACCTTGTTCCACCCCATTAAATCTAATTAACTGATGAGGACTTTACAAACACTCAAAAAAATTATGTTTGCTGTTTGTTCAAACTACTTTCTTAAAGTAAGCTGAAACACACAATACTTGAAGTTGTTTTAGGACTTGTTAGTTTTATGTTCAATCCACTGAAATGTTCATTCATTCATTCATTCATTCATTCATTTTCCTTCGGCTTAAGGCTGATTTATACTTCTGCGTCAAACACCGGCGTATGCTACGGCGCTGACGCATAGCCCATCGCCGTGGCCGTGGCCGTCACTGACGTGCACCTCTCAAAAATTGTAACTACACGTCGCAACAACGCGTAGCGCAAGCTCTGTGATTGGTCGGCTTGCTAGCGCCGACGAGTCTGGGCGGGACCGAGAGCCGCGCGAATGGCGCGAGCGATTGTTTACAAGTGTGGAGTCCCGTGAAGGAGCTCCGGATGGAAAGTTTTGTTCTTTGTTTACCTCATGGTTAAAGTTGTTGCACGTCCGCTGGTTCCTGCCTTAAAATGAGCGAGTTTGAGTCACTTGTACATCCAGGAAGTGTTCAGAATAGCAAAACAGAAGCGAAGAAACTCGACACAGAGGAACATTTACACCTCACTGCCAACTAGCGTTTCGGAAGTGTTAATGCAGACCAACGGAGACAGCGCGCAGAAGTATAAATGCCCAGCCACGTGCGTTGCCTGTGCCGTGAGTTGCGCCGGTCACTTGACGCAGAAGTATAAACCAGGCTTTAGTCCTTTATTTGAAGCCGAATGAAACGGCAACTATTCCAGCATATGTTTTACGCAGCAAATGCCCTTCCAGCCGCAACCCAGTACTGGGAAATATTCATACAGGGCTCAACAATAAAGACTGCCAGATGTTTTTGGACCCGGAGCAAACCAACGCCAACACGGACAGAACATGCAAACTCCACACAGAAATGCCAACTGAGCCAGCAGGGGCTCGAACCAGCGACCTTCTTGCTGTGAGGCGTTAGTGCTACCCACTGCGCCACCGTGCTGCCCAAAAAAACTAATAATCTAAATGAATTTCTTCATGTCCTGCCAACACAGATCGATTGTGTGGAATCCAAAAAAATGTTTACAGTTAATGATCCAGTGAATTATTACCCTGATCTTCAATCCCATCCCATATGTCCCCAATTCCATCCTAAAGAGCAGAGTTTATGAATAAATTAAAAGTTTGACTCTCATTTACTGACTCTCAAGTCATTCTAACTACTACCACAACTATAAGCATCATCAAAACATCTGCGCATCCATCACACACCAGCTAGACACTGCGAAATATTCAACCAATGGCGTTTAAGGGCATGATCGTCAGTTTGACAGACTAATGGCAGATCAAAATAACAAATCACAATGCATTTACTGCACCTTCCATATTCTACATTCATATTTTTGTAAATAGTAGCTGTAAGTTTTAATTTTATATTCAAGTATTTTCTTATAATCACATTTAAATAAAATGAACACCACATACATTACACTGTCATTACTTTTTAAAATAATAATGTACATTGATGAACTGTGCACAATATGACCAGCAACAGAGTAAATGTGAAGGTAAACGACATAGAATTTAACTGAAACATAGCATAAATCAACAAGGCACAAGCTAGATGACCTATAACACAACCAGCATGGGCAGAAAGTGTCTTAGCATTCTTAGCACACATTACCACACACACTCACACACATACTCACATTTTACACCCGTAGCCAAGAGCTGCATTGGGCTAAAGCTTTGAGAGTATTCCAGCTTTGCGTTTGTTTGTGTGTTATCCTCCACAAAAGGATGCTAGCAAAAACGAGGATTCGCTTTGCTCTCTGCTATCTGTGTGCACTGTCAGATGTCAAATCTTGTGTATGTGTGTGTGTGTATATGTGTGACCAGTGATTTTGCTAGGCAGTGTGTCAGTCTATAGGATTACAGTGCGGCTGGGAGGAAGGGGGGCTGCAGAGAGTCTGCTTGGACCTGCTGTGTTTAGCTTTCAGAGTTTAGCGTTTAGCTGTGTCCACTCCTCCCCCCTTAAGCCTGCTCTGGACTGACACACTAACACACACACAGACAGATTTTTGATCCTGCAAAGGCCAGCCATCATGCAAAGGCGCATAATCTAGTTTATACTACAACTCTACAGGTCAAAATAATAAATTGAAAAAAATATGATAATAAATTAGACCCAAGCTAGTTTAATTGAGGGGGATTTTGGCAGTGGTGTGTAACACAGTCAATCCCTCAGGTAGGGATGTAAAGATTATAGATTTTGTTGGCACGATTATAGCCGGAGGAATAATCAGAGTTTGGAGATTATCACGGTTATCATGGATTTACTAATTTCGCACTAGCCTACTACTAAATGTATAAAATCAAATACACTCCTTAAATTTTACATAAAGGGTTCTGTAATAGCTGGTTGTTGATCAGCAGCTACAGTATCCCCATTTTTAAACTCTATTGAAGATAGCATATTATAAAAAATATATTAAATTTATAGGCATCACGGGGGCTCAGTGGTTAGCACTGTCACCTCACAGCAAGAAGGTTGCTGGTTCGAGTCCCAGCATCCTCTCCCTGTGTTGGCATAGGTTTTCTCCACAAGTCCAAACTCAGGCGCTATTGGTGAATTGGGTAAGTAAATTGGCCATAGTGTGTGCGTGTGTGCGTGTGTGTGTGTGAATGAGTGTTTATGGGTGTCTCCCAGCACAAGGTTGAAGCTGGAAGGGCATCAGCTGTGTTAAACATACTGTATGCTGAATAACTTGGCGGGTTATTCCTCTGTGGTGACCCCTGATTAAAAAAAAGGGGCTAAGTCAAAAGTAATATGAATGAATGAACGACTAAATATATATATTTGATTATATACTATATACGATTACAAACAAAAATGTGTTTTTCTCTATAAACATACAATATAAAGGAAATATTTTAACTAACACGTTTAGCTACATGAACAGTATAATCATTAATAGGAAGAAGTTTAAGTTAACATTTACTTTTACTCATTGCATTTGTATGGTTTTGGGTTCAGTGTTTGTTCAAACTATTTAATTTATTGTTTTATTACTAAAAGGTTTGCGCAGTAGTTAATGTAAGCTGTGCAAACACGAAACACAGCTAAATACTGGGCGCGTTCTGTTAACACTGCTAAACTAGAATTACTAAAACTAAAACTAAATATACAGAAAATGAGCAGAAAACAAAAACCTTTAATGAAAAACAAAAACCAAACTGAAAACAATATTAAAATAATTCATTTAAAACCACAAAACTATAATAACCTTGCAACATACACTGTAAAAAATGCAGGGTTCCAATGCAATTGATTTGTGTTGAGAAAACAAAGGAATTAAGTTAGCGTACTAGTTTTTACAACTTTAAGTGGATTGAACATAAACAAGTTAGTAAATTTGTAGAGTAACCTCAAGAACTGTGTTTTCATAGCTTGTTTTAAACACTGTTGGTAGTTTGAACAAACTGCAAATAATCTTTTTTGAGAGTAATAGTACATTCTGATATGTTTGCACTGTAAAAAATGGTTACTCTAAAAGCATCAAGCTGACTTTAAAAAAGTGAGTAAATCCATTGTAACTGGGAACAATTAAGTTGACGTGCATTATTTTTTTTAATATTATGCACAATTTATTTACATAATCATTTGAAGGCAATGGGTCATTACTCACTTTTTTTTAAGTAAAGCAAACTAATCGCTTTTTGGAGTGTGTGAATATTTTTGTGTGTGTGTTTACCTGAGGCCTGAACTTCTGTGACGTACTGCAGTAGTTCCTGTCCCTGGTGTATGACGTGGAAGGTGAGGTTGTTCATGGTGAGGGCTTTATCAGCATGGTGCTGTAGTCTCTGCTCAGCGAGCGTCAGATCTTCAGTGTCAAACTCGTTCATCTGCTGAGAGAGCTCCTCATTCCACGACTCCAGGTCTGAAATCACCTACACAAAAAAACAGCACACAAATAAACCACACTGAGGCATACGGGAATGTATCAGTGACCATACAGTATGCGTTTGGATATTTTTAGTCTGAAAATGTCTGGATATTGTAGTAATCAAAATATATATCAATTATAGTTATGTTGTGTTAATAGTATTATTATTAGTAATGCTATCCTTTCCTGTGTTCTGAGTGAATCGAATTTTCAGTCTTTCAATTGTACTGATATAGGGAATAGTGACTGAGGGTATATACAGTGAGCATGGACACAGAACTAGCACTAATTATACTTTGGTCATTTTTGAGCGTGATAATAACGGTCTAATATAATGTATAACGAGTGAGCGAGTGAGCGAGTGAGTGAGTGAGTGAGTGAAGGTGTGTGTGTGTTTTCTGTCTGATGAATAAATAAAGTCTGGATACCCATTCATATATGGGTTTACTTTTGACTGGGAACACCACAGGTGTAACAAGGTTGATTAATTCACTCAAATTTCAATGAAAGAGGTGATCATCGCTTTTATATGTTCAAATGCACAGTGTGGAGGACATCATAAGGCCTTGATGCAATCAGATGTAAAACAAAATATTTATGAGGGTTTAAGTTGTAAATCGGTCAGATTTCACCCAAACACGACAGAAAGGTTAAGTAAATCCAATCAACATTTGGTATGTATTTAACACTTAGTGTACTTGCCCATAGTTTTTCAGGTAGTTTTGCAGTTTGGTTAAAAATATTTCACTCAACAGCACTTGGGAAATATTTGAAAAAGAATTCAAATTTCCACTGGAGGAGTTTGGCTTTAACTGCATATACACTCACCGGCCCCTTTATTAGGTACACACATCAGAATGGGAAAGAAATATAGAAAACTGTTAATTAACAGATAGTTTTTAAAGTGTACAGTACATTATCAAGATGATTCAAAGCACCCATTAGAGCCCAAACTTTATTTGGTTGTTATCTGAAAATAACATACCTTAGAATTTCACAACTGACCATTCAGAATCAAGTATTCCAGAGACCCATGTAATAAAGTCACCATAAAAACAAATAATCCTATAGTCAAAAAGTTAAAAGCACTCACTCTGCGCCGCTGTGTGTTTGAGAAATCCTCCTTCTCTAATAAACCTCAACATTTTCTCCCAGAACTTCTGACTGAAATCCTGATAAAGACAGTTGATGACTGGAAAATAACCGCTTTCTTTAAAGACTACATGTGTATTTGGATGTGTGGGAGCAGCGTTTGGGAAAAGACACGCCCACCGCTGTACCTTCTGGCACTCTCTTTGACTGACAGTCCTGGTCCGCCCTGCTCTGAGTAACAATATAAAGTGTGCCAATACCTCACATCTGATTTAAGGTTTACCTACAGTCATCATCCATACTAGAAGTTATAAACGAAATTCTTCTTTACTGTCTGTGTTCAATTTTCACGTTGTGTAATCATCAATATTGACCTGCTCTATGTAAGGTCCTCTCTTATTTAGCAGATCCATTAGCCTGCTATCAGTGGAACGTGACTACCTTCACAACATGATACTCCTTAATCTGTATTGGATTATGTTACAGAGAGCGATATCACTTTTACTACAAAAGCCAGTTCGTTTTTGTTTGTTCTTGCAGGCTCTGATTACTTCATATAAGGTTTCCTACAAACAAAACAATTCAAAACACAGCCAACAAAGGTCATTCGCAAAGTATGATGGGCTTTCTGCAGGTCATTATAATAATGGCAAACGAAGCAGACGAAAGGGCGTCTCATTTTGAGGTCAACGTGAAGTCGGACATGTTTATGTATGGTACAGGGTTCTGCAAAGGTAGATTCATTCAGTTGAAGGAAATATAATTGGCCCTAATGTGAAGTTATAATTATTTTTCACATACTTATATACAGAGTGCAGGTAAATAGAGCCAAGGAAATTGTCAGTGTTTTCTATAATGTTTTTTTCTTCCGAAGAACATATTTTTTCTTTTAGTTTGGCTAGTTTTAAATTTTTCAAAACTATTTTTAGACGAATATTACTAGCCTACTTAATAAATATATATATTATATATTAGTGCTGTCAATCGATTAAAAAATTAAGTAATTAATCACTTTTATTGAAAATTTATTGCGATTTAACACATTTAAAAGACTGAAACTTGTCATTTTGGCTATTCAAATGTAAAATTAACGTAAACGCAGGACAAAAACTGTTTACATTCAAAATATAATTGTTTTTAGAATTTTTGTTCAACTTGTAACACAAATTTCTTCATGTAAACAACATACCCACAATAAACCATCAAGATCCTGGCTTGACAGCCATATTTATTACAGAAATAAAAAAAAGACATGTTAGTCTCATTTGAATTTTGAAACAATCAATGCCAATAAAGAAAAAAAAATTTCCAAGTTGGATTCTAAGTGGACTGCAAAAAAATGCCAAAATACAGGCATTGCAAATATGGAAAATGGAAAATTATAATAATAATAAAGTATTGAATACAAACAATTGCACTCATTGTAAAGTTGTATTGCTGTGAATTGAGAACATTAATTATAAAGTAGAAACAATTTTGCTTAGTCCTCCTTTACATTCAGCCAGTTGGTAAGACAGTCATACATACATTATAACTACATTATCGGGGGACAATGTGGACCTTTTCTTTTGAATGATGTGAGCCGAGAGTGCAATGCAATCTCACTGCAATTCGTAACTTTTTGATTTAGTGGCTACAAACAGCGATGTTTAGACAGGTTTAGGCGGGTTTGTTGCTAAGAAACGCGTGCGCGCACATACACACACAGACAGACAGACAGACAGACAGACAGACAGACAGACAGACAGACACACACACAATGCGCGCAGGACAGGGCAGCTGGATGCATCTCCCTTGAAATGATCACGTTCATCAAATTTGCTTAAACTGAGCATTCTAAAGTATGGTTGTATTTCACATGGATTCTGACACAACAACGCGAAACAGATGCTTTACAAAAGTTGCGTTTAAGGGGGAAACACGTCAAACTTTTTTTTTAACAAGTTAAATATTTAAAATTAATAGCATGCGTTAATGCACTAATTTTGACAGCATTAATATATATATATATATATATATATATATATATATATATATATATATATATATATATATATATATATATATATATATATATATATATATTGGATAAAATAGAAAAATTTGCCCTTGGATTCTTGTCCAATCGCACATAGAAAGTAAATCGCATGATACTGAACAACATCAACACATGGATGCTTTATAAATGCAGCAAACCTTTTGGAAGCTTTAAAAATGTCCAAGATGATGTTCAAAATATTTACACACATTGAGGCACAGACTTTTAATAGACTGGATGTCGCTGCTGAGAAAATAAATAGAATAGAAAATAAAAAAGGATTTTTTTTCTGCAGTTCTTTGCACAACAACAAAAGAAATATAATAAGCATGAATAAATATGTTTGTCACACAGACAACTTTTCTGGTTGGTCAGTGGTTTGCTTTATTCGGTGCTGTATTTATGATGCAGAGCACTTGGGATTGATTCAAGTGAAGCCCGGATCTACAAATGAGACAAAAGCAATGTAAAATCTATGTAAAACTATGTGGTCGCAGTGTAGTTTTCCTATGCATTTGCTTTTAAAAAACACTATTGGTCAGGTTTAGGGAAGGGTTTAGGTCAGTGGTTCACTTTGTACAAGCCCTGCTTTCCCGTGGACAGACGTATCATGTTTTTTTTTCTGAAATACATAACAAAACATACCCTAACTATCATATTTCAGTTTCACATAAATATATACAGCGCCCTCTAGTGGATTTGTCATCGTAAACGTGCAACTAAATGTACCCACAATGTATTATATTTTTTTGTTCAAATATAGACAGAGGCACATATTTTCAAACAGTCTGTGCTGCATTTACCACAGTAAAGCATCGTGGAGAGGACTGGAGAAGATCTGCAAAGAGGAATAGCAGAGGATCCTCTAATCCAGGGGTAAAAAAAACTTGTCACATCTTTACAAAAAGACTCATGACTGAATAAGATCAAAAGACTTCTACTTAATACTGAGCAAAGGGTCTGAATACTGGACCATGTGATATTTCAGTTTTTCCTTTTTAACAAATCTGCAAAAATGTCAACAATTCTGTTTTTTTTCTGTCATTATGGAGTGATGTGTGTACATTAATGAGAAAAAAATGAACAAATAAATTTAGCAAATGGCTGCAATATAAAAAAAGAGTGAAAAATTTAAGTAGGTCTGAGTATTTTCCATACCCACTGTAACTGGCCATTAATGTATAGAAATAACCTATTTGGCATATAAAAGAAGCAATTGCTCATGTTACCAGTCAAAATGTTAGCCCATGGTTGTATTACAAAACTTAACTAAGTTGTTTTCTGTTGACTTTAATAGCTTTTATGCAGAGCAGCCATGAGTGTGACATTGACTGGATGAAGCAGTCATTTCTCAAACACCCTTTTGACAAAAGCGTGAGTCATTTTCACACATCCAGAGACTCAACCCTCCGTGACTCACAGTGCAGGCTGTGAGAAGACGGCTTTATCTTTGCTCAAGGTTTCCACTCTGAATCTCTGAATTCAAAGGATTTTGTCGCTTAGCACTTTGTTCCTTTGACCAGATCAAAATGGATTAGAGTGTTAGAAGGGAACGCACATGGTATGGTCTCACCTTCTACCTCATAACTGATAACTTCAGACTCGCATAATTATGGTGTGTGCTATGTTGGTTATCAACAACAAATATCTGAAAGCGAGAATACAATTCAAAAACAGATACTTCAGTATATCAAATACTGTAGTGTGTTCATATAATCACAAATCGTCATTAGCATTATGTAGGCTTATAAGATGTACTGGCTATTTAAATTGATAAATATTACATCAACAGTGATGGATCTATTTTTTTTCTGAAAACAAAAATCTCCTAAGCTAGCCATCAGCAACATGCAGTGTTTCTATTTTAAAAATGGTTTCTATTTTCTGTGATGTCGTGGCTGAACAACAGCATAAACTACAATGATAATGATCACTAGGTGCTGATTATGTGCTTTATTCAGTGTCGAATGCTTTCAATGTGAGTTTGAAATTCATTTTACATGACATTTATGGCTATATGTAGTTAGAACGGTGTAAGAATTGTCATCATAGCAAAGACAAAAGAAATAACAGGCTAATAATTGTTATATACAGTTGAAGTCAGAATTATTAGCCCTCCTAAATTATTAGAACCCCAGTTTATTTTTTCCCCAATTTCTGTTTAACGGAGAGAAGATTTTTAAAACACATTTCTAAGCATAATAGTTTTAATAACTCATCTCTAATAACTGATTTCTTTTATCTTTGCCATGATGACAGTAAATAATATTTTACTAGACATTTTTCAAGACACTTCTATACAGCTTAAAGTGACTTTTAGAGGCTTAACTTGGTTAATTAGGTTAGTTATGTATTATGATGGTTTGTTCTGTAGCCTATCAGGAAAAAAATACCCTAAAGAGGCTAATAATTTAGTCCTTAAAATTGTGCTTAAAAAATTAATAACTGCCTTTATTCTAGCCAAAATAAAACAAGAAAGACTTTCTCCAGAAGAAAAAAATACTATCAGACATGCTGTAAAAATTACCTTGCTCTGTTAAACATAATTTGGGAAATATTTAAAAAAAATATATAAATTAAAAAGGGGGCTAATAATTCTGACTTTAACTATATATATATATATATATATATAGCAATGTGGAAGAATTTCATAAAAAAAACATTAATGCAACTCTACAGCTATGAAAAGAATTAAGACTACTTGAAAATTCTTCATTTTTCTGTGGATTTATTAGTCATGGGTGTAAGTAAACTCTTAATACTTGTTTTGTTTTACAAAATTGTTTAAAATTTTAAATAAAAATATTGTCATTTAAAGATTTTTTTTTCAGATGATTCATTTGTTTTTTATTAAAAATCAGGGTTATCCGACAAAATAGTGATTTCAGTCAGTGTGAACAACTTTACAATGCTTATTTTAGAAGCGCACAGTGAATTCTTTAGGTAAACAATGAATCCACTGAAGAAAATAATAAAAATCTGACCATTGTCTTCAGCATTATTATTCTTAAACACGGCACTCTTACCGTTAGTTAACCATAAGGGAATGATATGCTAAAAAAGAAAGCTCCACCCCCTACTTAATATTCCATTCCAGTAGGAAGTACATCAACAAACTAAAATACAGTATATTAAATAAAGCCTCATCTTCTTTCAACATTTAGTTAACAGTCTTGTCATTTCTCTCTCTAGATAAAAGTGAAGTACTCTATCTGGGGCTCTACTGATAAATACTATGAAACTCAGACCCCATTCGAAACGTCTTGAATCCTTTGACCTCATTTCCTGATTGAGTTTATTAGGGTAAATTTCTCTTTGTTGTTTTATACCACTTTATGAGTACTCTCTCCTAATTGTGTTTACCCTCTTTTTCTTGTATATAAGAAGATAAACAAACAAAACACATTGTTTCATTATATACTTTAATATACAGTACATAGTTTTTTTTTATTTTTTATCTCTAACAGTGATTTTGTATAGTTCTTTGTATATTTTCATTGCTTCCAAGGGGTTTATGAGTGGGGGTAGGTATCTAATGTTGGTTAGTTCTAGTTGGAACTTTGGCCGAAAAAAAAAAAAGTTTGCTCTTTGTATTGCTCGTTGGTTTTTACATCACACCTGTCTGTCTAATAAAGCATATATTAAAATAAAAGTCTCAGCAAGTTAAAACATTAGTATTGTGCAGTCTAAAAATTAATATGAACTTCTGACACCACATTACATTTTGATATTTTATACAGAAAATAAAATCTCTTAAAATCGTAATTTCTATTTTAAATTAGGAAAAATATACCCATTAGCACAGAATAGAAGCTAAAGTACATTTTTGCAAAAACATGTAAATGTTAATCATATTATTGTTTCAACATTGCTTGAAATCCATATGGAAAGTTGGGTAACACTTTAGCTTAGGTCAGTGGTGTTTAAACTCAGTCTTGGAGGGCCGGTGTCCTGCATATTTTAGTTCCAACCCCAATTAAACATACCTAAACCAGCTAATCAAGCTCTTTCTAGGTATACTCGACTTCTAGGCAGGTGTGTTGGAGGAAGTTGGAGTTAACTATGCAGGACACCAGCCCTCCAGGACCGAGTTTGGACACCCCTGGCTTAAGTTATAATTTATGGTATTAACAGACCATTAACTAACCCTACTAGCTTAATAAACTAATAATTAGCTGTTTATTAATAGTTAGTAAGGAAGAAGTTGGGTTTAAGTTTTGGGTAGCATTAGGGATACAGAATAAGATCATACTTTATAACTACTAATGAACAGTTCATATCTTAATGGTAATAAGCCAGTAGTTAATAGCATGGATTATGACCTAAACTAAAGTGTTAACTAAAGTTGATTAAATTGAATCTCTCAGATTGACGAGGGGCAGAGGATCTATATTGAACTATTTGTCTTGAGTGCAAAAACTCACTGTTTACAACAAAATCAGTGGTTTGTGATTTGGGAATGACAACTGAGCCGTGTGGTGGAGTGTAGACTTACGTCAATCGCATCTCGTTCAAAGATCCTGAGCTGGAGGAAAAGTTCGAGTTTGATCTTGCGTTCCTGAAACAGCTCCTCCATCTGAGCCTGAGCCTCATCCAGCTGCTGCAGGACACTCTCGATGTGTGCCATCGAGCTGTTATGAGGAGTCTTATTGCTAGAGATTGCGGAGTCTCTGGAGTCACAGAAGAGGATACGAGAGAACATATCAGAGATAACATCTACAGGAGTTGAAGTCTATTCTTTCTGTAGTTTAATTAGCTTCTGCAGGTCAGTGATTTGAGTGTGTGTTTTTAGGTTATAGTAGTTGCTGCAGCTCTAGGTTCTAAAATCAGTGAAAAAATAAGCCAAGTATCATTGGTGGAAATCAACATAAAAGTCTGATTTCATGCTATTTAATATTAAATCATCTGGTGACTGTCTGAAATGACAATTGGAAAATGGTACACTACAAAAAAAACTTTTACATTTTTTAAAGTCATTTTTTGCCATTTCAAATTTTATTCAAAACTTAGTAAAATGACAAACAATTTCTCTAAATTAACAGTTTGACTTTTATTTTAGGTACTTTATCATTAAAGACAAATTACTGACATTTTAGTTTTTATACAGGGAAATTACAGTATTATTTATACAGTTTTTTTCTGTTATTTTAAATTATATTCAAAAGTCAGTGAAAATTACAAATAATATCTGTAAATTAACAGCTTGACTGTTATTTTATGTACTATATAATAATGACAAATTACAGCAATTTTCCTGTTTCATACAATAAAATTGCTGTATTATTTACCATTGCTGTATTATTTTACTGCCATGACAATTAACTGACTGCCATTTTGTTCCAGTGGGCAGTACCTGAGCTGCTGTATGAGATCCTCCCCTTCTTTAATGACGTTGACGGTGACTTGCAGGGTGGTTTGCTGCTGTTGACCAAAGCGCTTGATCAGCTCCTGCACCGCCTCCACTGACTCGGCATAAACATCATCCAACAACTCCTTCTGAAGCTCCTCCAACCACGTCCACAGCTGCAGAGCAATGACATCATCATTAAAAATTATAACCAAAAATAAGTGTACTTAAAGCTCATTTATGGAGTGTTCTACGTAGAGGTATATGTAGAAGTACAATACATCTACATGTTGTTATTCTAGTTAAATACGACCAAATAGGCCTATTTTTAGTACATAAAAGCATACTTTTAAGTGTACTATAAATTATACACTTTAGGTGCACAGCTTGTCCACAATGATGATCAACTGTATTGCAAATGAACTCATGGGTATACTACTAGTTGTATACTTTTGGTAAATACTTTGGTTCTCTGGTGTTATACTGCAGGTATACTAAGCAGAATGTGCTAAATTAATTACTGCAGACACTCCCAAATCACATACTTACGCACTAATTTGCGCATTTAATTCATTAGTATAAATAGTTTAAGTAGTGTGTTCACACTGAAAAGTCTAAAAAAAAAAAAAAGTACACTTTAAACACCCGGATGATGCACGTATTCAACCGGTAAAATGAAGAGTGACATGTTGGACACTTCAACCTCAGCTTTGCTCACGTAGCAAGAGTTGGATAACATTATTTATTTTGGCTTGTGAAAGCAAAATTCTCCAACGGGAGTGATTATACCGCCTCTCGATGGTGAATGTGGTTATACTCATGGCAGGAATTGGTACTTTGGTCATTTATTTTTACTAAAAAGGCAACCGTCAAACGTCATAGTGCATAGTGTATAGTGTGCCATTTGGGACGCAGCTAAAGTGCAATATGTAATTTGATCCAACCAATTATTCAGCATATCTTCACTTAGAAACAGTGTATTTTGGTATATATTTGATCATAACTTATTTGTAATGACCTTAATAGTAATTAATTGATGATTTCCAAATTTTATAAATAGGGACATTTGGTACTACTCAGCTTGCATACTGTTTTTAGCAAACTATATAGTATGGAAGACTTTTCTGTCAGTATACTTGCAGTAAGTGCAATATTAAGTATATTTAGGTACATTTCTAAAAAGTACATAAAAAATCTATTGAAAGTATACTAAAAACGACAAGATAGCTATATTAAACCTGAATAAAGTCTTTTTATGAGGGCAGCCAAACAAAACAGAAACATATCTAAGCTATAAACCAATCAATAAAATATGACTATTCAAAGGAATACCATTTAATCCAAAAAAGACAAATGCACAAATATGACAAGACAATAAAAGCCAGACGGACTTTGGCTGCCACCGAACTGCTGGTGTTGTTGTTTCCTGTGAGCGGCCTTCTTCTCTTGTGAGCTCACAGGATTAGCCATCTGCCTGTGTTGGCATGCCGGTAAGTATATCTCCTGAAACAGCAGGCCATACGCCTTGCTTCCACACCTCCCCATTGTCTTTTTTCCACCTCCACCTTTCTTTACCTTCCTCTTTTCTCGAAAAGTTCAGCCTTAAACACACTCTGAGAATCAAAGATGGCTGCACAAGCCAGCCTGCTACAGATAGCAGATGGCTAACATTATGTCATATTGAGATATCAAAGAGAGTGTGGTTTGCTCATTTGAGGTATGTTATGAATCATGTATATGCCGTCTACTCCTTATCATGATTGTTTGTGTAATACAGATAAACCAAGAAGAAAGTTTTGAATTTAAAAGCAGATTTGGGCAGCAAAAAATGCTAAATGCTAATGCTAACTGTCCAGATCACACACTGCAAAAAAGAACCATCATGTGTGACATTAATGAAGGATTTAAAAAGATACAGACTAGGAAAAAAAAAATAATTATTTGTCTGTGCAGTAAGATTATACTTGGTAATATGTGTTAAAATAAGAAAACGTACCTACACTTTAGTAAAATGACTAAATTAGTAAAGTGACTTAATGCTAAATGACTAAAAGTAAAGAAAAAAATACCCTAAATAACTAAACTTACACTATTTCAAGCAGTGTATTTAGTCTAATTATCCTAAAACTAGATTGTTAATTGATTTTTAAACAGCTTTTATTACTTTGTTTGAAAGTGTCTTAAGACTAGATTTACTCGAGAATTCTTCTTAATTTAAGAATTGAGATTAAATGTTCTGTCCTAAATTCAGCCAAAGTATTTAAGCTTAAAACAAGATTATTGTGTCAGTTGAATCAGGGTAACATAATACTTACTTTCCACAATTATTTTTTTTAAATTAAGGGCTCTATTTTGACGATCCATGCACAAAATCTAAAGCGCAGGGCAAAAAAAGCATTAAGGGCTTGTTAGAATCCACTTTTGCTATTTTAAGGATGGAAAAATCCGCTTTGCGCCGTGGCGCATGGTCTAACAGGGTTGAGCTTATTCTCTTAATGAGTTAAAGGTGTGTTTTAAGAATAAACCAATGAGAGTCTCATCTACCATTCCCTTTAAGAGTCATTTGCGTCGCGCCATAGCGCATTTGCTATTTACATGGCGGACTTTGAAAGTGGAAAAACTAAATGCTTCACTAGAGAGAAAAGAGTTAAACCGATCATCTGCAGCGCGAGAATGAGAGAATGAGCCTCCTCATTCCTTAATTTCACTTTCGTGGATAGATAAGCACCTGATAGAAACAGGTATGATTGTCTGAATGCTGGATAAAACCAATAAACAGCAGCGAGTAGAGTTTCTGGTTCAAGATCAAATCCACATTTTTATTATTATTGTTTCTTTATTTAAGTTTTTTTTGATTCATTGTATTTGAAGCCTGTTTGAAAACCACTACATCAACACTTTCTAAACACTTTCTGCTACATCATATTCAGGAATCATGTCAAGTGGAACACAAGAGAAACCTGCATATATCCACACCCATTTGTGTGCCTTTTTCCATAGATTTACCTCTTTGCTGTGTGTATGGAAGGCCACAGACATGTCGAGCAGGACTTTGCGCTGTTCAACACGCCTTACAAAGTCCTGGATACGGTCCTCCAGCTGATGAGCAGCCTGGTAAATCTCCTCGGGGTCACACTCGCCCGTCTGAGCCAGCTGCTCCGCCGCCTCCAGCAGTTTGTCTGCATTGGTGTAGGTATTCTGGGACACATGCAGACGTTTTGCATAATATGCATTTGACCAGTTTCTTGCACAGTCTGTCTAGTTTTTATTCTGGGAGAAGTACTTAAATTGTCTTGTTTCTAATCCAAATATCAAAAAAAATAATAATAATAATAAAAAAAGAAAAAGAAAAACTAAATCAACAAGCATTTTGTAGACAAGTAAAAAATATAGAGTTGTTTTCAGAAATAATTTGTCATTTTTCTTAAAATGATCTTGCTTTTGTTTTGAAATGCAGTTTCTTTATTGTTTTAAGGAATAATGCCATAAGACATTTGACATGTTTGAAAACAAGACCACATTTTTTTCTTACCTATAAAATGTTTTTCGATTTAAGAATATTTACATATTTGGACTAGAAGCAAACTCTAAGTAAGATTTTTTTGTTTTGCAATGTAGGCAGCTAGTCGGAGATGAGTAGTCAAACCGAACTTTCTATGAAGTTAATGCTTATAATGAATCACAACTCCGTTAATAAATATTTATAATCATTCTATAAATGTATTTACAAAGACTTAACAAGCATTCTGGGTAACACTTTATAATAATGGTCCATCAGTTAATGTATTCACTAAAATGAACAAACTATTAGTAAGACATTGAATACAGTATTTATTCATGTTTGTTAACATTAGTAAATGTTACTTTAGTTAATGCATCGTGAGTTAACATGCATTTATCTTATGTTAACAAGCACAACTTTGGAATTTAGTAATGCATTTAATGTTGAACTATGATTAATAATTGCTTTACAAAATTATGCATGCTTAGTTAGTGCTAGTAAATATATTAACTAACATTAACTAAGGGACCATTATTATAAAGTGTTACTGCATACTGTATTATAATGACAGTTACAGCTACATAATCATAATATTATAATAGTGTTATTGATTCTTATTACTTAACGTCATCAATAAGGCATTTATGGAGGGTATTAATTGTATGACCTAGAATAAGCATTTATAAGGCATAAATTATTACCAAATGTTTATTTGAAAAAAAAAAAAAAAATTATATATATATATATATATATATATATATATATATATACACACATTTTACAGTATAACTTGCAACTTACAAAGAAGTCTATTACACTGTAAAAATGCTGTAAAATTGACAGTATTACGGCCAATTTTGGTGTACTGTAAACTAACAATTACAATGTTAATACTGTAAAAATTGCAAATAATACTATAAAAATTGCCAGTAATATTGTAAAACTTACAAGTGCACTGTAAACTAACATTTACAATTGTGTTGTAAAACTACAGCACATTTGTAATTGTTAATTTACAGTACGGTTGTAAATTTTGCCAGTAATACTGTAAAAATTGCAAGTAATACTCTTAAAATTGCCATTAATACTTTAAAATTGACAAGTGCGCTATGAATTAACAATTACAATTGTGTTGCAAAACTACAGCACAGTTGTAATTGTTAATTTACAGCACGCTTGTAAATTTTGCCATGGATACTGTAAAAATTGCAATACTAAAATTGCTAGTAATACTGTACTATTTACAAGTGCACTGTAAACTAACAATTGCAATTATGTTATAAAACTACAGCACAGTGGCGACGCAGTGACGCAGTAGGTAGTGCTGTCACCTCACAGAAAGAAGGTCGCTGGTTCGAGCCTCGGCTGGGTCAGTTGGCGTTTCTGTTTGGAGTTTGCATGTTCTCCCCGTGTTCGCGTGGGTTTCCTCCGGGTGCTCCGGTTTCCCCCACAGTCCAAATACATGCGGTACAGGTGAATTGGGTAGGCTAAATTGTCTGTAGTGTTTGAGTGTGAATGAGAGTGTGTAGATGTTTCCCAGAGATGAGTTACAGCTGGAAGGGCATCCGCTGCGTAAAAACATGCTGTATAAGTTAGCAGTTCATTCCGTTGTGGCGACCCCAGATAATTAAAAGGACTATGTCGAAAAGAAGATGACTGAATGACTGAATGAACTACAGCACAGTTGTAATTGTTTATTTACAGTGCTCTTGTAAATTTTGCCAGTATTACTGTAAAAATTGCTAGTAATACTGTAAAATGTATAGGTGCACTGTAAACTAACACTTACAATTGTGATGTAAAACTACAGCACAGTTGTAATTGTTAATTAACAGTGCTCTTGTAAATTTTGCCAGTAATATTGTAAAAGTTGCAAGTAATACTGTAAAATTAAGAAGTACACTTTAAATTAACAATTAAAATTGTGCTGTACAACAACAGCACAGTTGTAAATATAAATACATTTTGCCAGTAATACTGTAAAAGTTGGCAGTAATACTGTAATATTTACAAGAGTACTGTAAATGAATAATTACAACTGTTGTAAACTACAGCACAATTGTAATTGTTAATTTACAGTACATTTGTAAAACTTGACAGTAGTACTGTAAAATTTACAAGAGCACTGTAAACTTACAATTGCAATTATGTTGTAAAACTACAGCACATTTGTAATTATTAATTTACAGTGCGCTTATAAATTTTGCCAGTAATACTGTAAAAATTGCAAGTAATACTGTAAAATTAAGAAGAGCACTGTAAATTAACAATTATAATTGTGTTGTAAAACTAGAGCACAGTTGTAATTGTTAATTTACAGTCCGCTTGTAAATCGTACACATAAATTTACAGCATTTTTCTTTGTGAACATTTTAACAATGAATACAATCACGATCAACTGATTAATCCTTATAAGTTATTGTATAATGGAATAGGAACATGTATATTAAAAAAAATGAAATGCATCACTTATAAGTATTATTAACACTGCAGTTATAACTGTCATTATAATACAGTGTACGGTTTGTTACGTCTTTATAGATACATTTTGTAAATAATTAAAAACAGTTGTAATTCACTAACAAGCATGAGCTTCATATAAAGCATTCATAGAAACCGGAGTTTTCTTCTTACCTGAGCCACCTCTTCAAAGTCCTCATGGCGTTTCTGTAATGCTCGAGCTCTGTGCAGGGACTTCCCCACTCCTGTGTGCTTACTCAGAAATGCCTCTCCGTGGTTTTCAATCCAATCTAGAACCTGCGTGAGCAGACAATTACAGAGAGGAATGTTACTAAAAACTGCTAGGAGGGTCAAAATAACCACATCTCACATAATATATTAAAAGATCGTAAACGAGAATCAAATAATACACTGATTCAGTATTTCAGGTGTGGACCGAGTTTACTGTGAGACAGAGGGAATGAAAAAGAAAATCAAGTTGTAAAATGTAATTTAGTAAACCCTAGACTGCAAATAAATTACTTGCAGCCTTACTGTTTTTGTCCTGTTTTTAGTATAAATATCCAACAATACCCAATTCAATCAGCATTTTCTATGAGGAAAAAAAAACATTGTCTTCAAAAGATATTTCAAAATTAAGTGATATTTTCCTTAAAACAAGCAAAATAATCTGCCAATGCGGTGAGCAATAAAACTTACATCAAAGTGAAAACAAGATCATTTTGCTTACCCCATTGGCAGATTATTTTACTTGATTTAACAAAAATCTCACTCAATTTTGACTCTTATTTTGTTTTCTAGAAATTTTTTCTTGACTTAAGATTTGCTTAAATATTTGGACTAGAAACAAGACAAATACTCAGAGTAAGAAGAGCTTCTTGTATTTGTTTGTTTGTTTGTTTGTTTGTTTGTTTGCAGTTTACGATGGGACCATGGAGCAGAAGTTCAGTACTGTTGGGTATGGGTATATTTTTAGAGAACAGACTATTTCTTTTATGAAAAAAATCATTAGGATATTAAATAAAGATCATGTTTTTTAAATACTTTTTTTCCCCATATAAATATATCAAGACTCACTTGTTGATTAATAATGAGCATTGCTAAGAATTTTATTTGGACAACTTTAAAGACAATTTTCTCAGTATTTTGAAGTTTTCAAAATAAAGATTTGTGGTATTTTCATAGGTGAACATTGTTTTCCTTATTGAGTCTTTTCTAAGAATTAAACTGGCGCAAAAAATAAAGAGAAGAGTGTTTCTACAGGTGGTTTTCAAGCCCACTCACCTGTGTGAAGCACAGAAATGCTCATTGTTTTATCTTGAGATATGTAGTGGTTTTAAGAACGTGTCTGGTGCAAATGCAAACTGGTGCAAGTGTTGGTTAGAGTGTTTTAGGGCTGCACAATATTGAAAAAAATATGACATTGCAATATTGTTTTGCTGCAATATACAGGGCTCAGCATAACTGAGCACACCCCATTTTGAAAACTATTTTTTATATCAATTTCCCAGTGAATATAGGAAATATATAATACAATAAAACAGATTTATTAAACAGATATATTTATTAAAACAATATTTTAAATGAAATGTAATTAAATTCAAGCAAAATCTTGTAAAAAAAAAATACAACCTACAAAATAAAAAAAAAATGCATTTTTTGCTTTTCTTTATTTTTTACGCTTTTTAAAATTTGTATTTAATATTTTTCTATAACATATAAATTTGGATGTACTAGATTTTGTGCCGTTATCATAAGTTATTTTGTTAGATAACATTTTGGTCATTTGGTATTTCTGTGTGGAGTTTGCATGTTCTCCCAGTGTTCGCTTGGGTTTCCTCCGGGTGCTCCAGTTTCCCCCACAGTCCAAAGACATGCGCTATAGGCGAATTGAATAAGCTAAAATGGGCGTAGTGTATGAGTGTGAATGCAAGATTGTATGGGTGTTTCCCAGTGATGGGCTGCGGCTGGAAGGGCATCATTCCCCTGTGGCAACCCCTGATTAATAAGGGACCAAGCCGAAAAGAAAATGAATGAATAAATGAAAAAATAAATTGTTATATTTATTGAAAAATAAACACAAGTTAATTGGAGGGGGGTTGGAGGGGTGTATAGGGTGGTTCGCCTAGCGTGCCATTTAAACTAGAACTGCCACGGATCATAAACAGACACAAAAACATTTGTACTTTTTGCTGCTTGTTCAAACTACTTATTGAAAACAACACAATTATTAAGTTTTTTTTTTAAACAACTTTGTTTTATGTTCAATTCACTTACATTTGTTAAAAAAAACGATTGTTAACTTAATTGATTTATTTTGGAACAACATGAAGGATTTGTGTGGAACCCTACATTTTTTGACAGTGTATATTTAAGCTGCATTTCTGGTTTAACACCAGCAGGGGGCACTTGAAATCAGCGGGAGTCACTGCGACAGCTCAACACCTCTATACACATCAGCACCATACACGCAGTGAGGTCATCCTGCAGATTAAACAAGCAACACTGCTGTCTGCTCTGATGGGGGTTTCCAAGAGAGTACAATAATTGCGTTCATTAGGGATATTTGACTAATAAGGTAGCATCTTCTCTAGAGCAAGATTTGAATACATATACAAGACTTTCCTATAAAACATATTTGAAAAAGTATATATTAAATGATTTATTGAAACCCGCAAGATGGATCCAAGTTGAAAAGCTTTGTACCTGCTTCGAAGACGCCACAGCTCACTGTGAAACACATTTGAGTCTCCTTCTCATGCATATTTCATTATGCCACCTTTGATCTGACACACACAGAAACATTCAGAGCTGTGCGCGTGTGTGTGTGTGTGTGTGTGTGTGTGTGTGTGTGGTGGCATCTGTCGGCACATGTGCGAGTGTGTGATTAGGAGGAATCATTTGTTGTGCAGATGTTGAAGGCTCCTGTGTCACATGACTGTTTTCTGATGTCTGGAAGGTTTAGTGGTCCCCTATGCCTGCATCATTTTATGGGGCAAACCCTCAACATAATGAGACTGCTGAACACGGTTGCCATGACGACTGATACTGAATGCGTTATGAGTTAAAAAAAAAAAAAAAGAGAGAGAAAAAATAAGTGGGAACAGTGTGGGACAGGCTGCGTGCGAAAGAGTAAAAGAGATTGCGAGAGGAGCAACTTGCTGGATCTGCGGATGGCTGAATTTGTATGTTAATTAATTCCTGTTTCTATAGAAATGTAAGACAATACATTTGGTAAAAGTTAAGCACATGAACAAAAAGCTATATAACAGAACCATGAAAGTATAGTTCTTATAATGGGATTAAAGCACAAATGCTATGCAATAGGCCTATGCGATTAATCAAATCGCAATCGCAATATGAAGCGTTGTGATAATTAATCACAAGAGGCTGCAATATCTAATATATATTATGTATTACTTAATTTTCCCCGCCCAGAGCAAATGTGTGTGTGATAGTCTTACTAGTCAATTAAGTGAACACACTTCTGTTCTGCTCAATCAGAATTGCACAACCGAACTACGCCCACAATGAAAAAAAAAAAGAACAAACAGAAAAGTGCTGACAAGTGAGATAATGGTGTCTGCTTCTTCAGAAGCATTAATAGACCAATTGATATCAAAGAAATAACAATTAGAAATTTCCACCAAATCGCACAGCCCTACTAAGCACTGTTATTATTACTTTATGATGTCATTTTATAATTAAATAAATAATTAAATAATTGATTAGTTGATTAATTAATTAAAAGAAAGAATGAATGAAAGAAAGACAGTATTTAAAATAAAGTGGTTTAAATAAATAAAGTGAATAAAATGAATGAATAAAAATAAATAAAGAAATAAAGAAATAAAGTAATTAAAATAAAATAAATACATAAATAAAGTAATTGAAATGATCAAACAAACAAATAAATAAAAACTAAATTAAAATAAATAAATAAATGAAGTCAATAAAATAAAAATAAATAAATACAGTAATTAAAATAAACGAACAAAAAATAAACAAACAATCACATAAATGAATGAATAAATAAATACAAATAAATTAATTAATAATTAAAATAAAGTAATACAAATAAATAAATAATGTATTAAACAAATAAATTAATTAAAATAAATACATAAATAAGTACATAAAGAAAGAAAGAAAGAAAGACAGAAAGAAAGAAAGAAAGAAAAAGAAATTAAAAGTACATAAAATGAATGAACTATATAAATAATGCTATTAAAATAAACAAATGAACAAATAAAAACATAAAGAAAGAAAGAAACTGAAGTAAAGCACTTAAAATAAAGTAATTAAAATAAATAAAAAAATAAAGTTATTAAAATTAACAAACAAACAAACAAACAAACAAACAAACAAACAAATAAATAAATAAATAAAGGGTTTACTTCATTTTTACTTATAATTAATGTGTACCAACAGTGTACTTAAGAAAGTAATGGGTTATAAAAGGTAACTACAAAAGGTAGGTTTAAGCATTTTGCCTAGTTATTACTCAATTATATGTCACCTATAAAACAGAACGGTAATAAGTGTGACCAAAATTTTAGTAGAATAACAGCGTAAAAATTTGGAATGAAAGCACTATACTTTTAATAATTTAAAGGAGCAGATCTAAAGTCTGTTATATTCTGTTCTCTGCAGTGAACGTGTTCAAATGCTACCATTTTTTCCATAACTATATTTACAGAAAAACAAGACATTCAACCAGATGCACCCCATCTATAAACAGGAATTGCTTTAGTTACTAAATAATTGTATTCAACTTGGTTAATTGTAAATTGTCATTGATTTTTGCTTGTGGCAAGGATAAATTAACAGCAGTCATTACTCCAGGTTTTAGTGTCACATGGCTTTTCTAGTAATTATTATTATTATTATTATTATTATTTTATTATGATGAAAATAATAATAATAATAATAATAATAATAATAAGTGAATAAAGATGAATAAAGGGACTAAATAAACAAAAAGCAGAAGGAAATATAAATTAATAATAATAATAATAATAATAATAATAATACATGAATAAAGATGAATAAAGGGACTAAATAAACAAAAAGCAGACAGAAATATAAATACATTATTAATAATAATAATAATAATAATAATAATAATAATAATAATCATCATCATCATAATAATAAATGTTATTATTATCATCATTATTATTATTATTATTATTATTATTAATAATAATATTATTATTATTGATTAGAAAAGTTGTGCTGCTTAATATTTGTAAGAACACTTCTTCTAGAAACAATTATTTAAAGAACAGCATTAAATTGAAACATAAAACTTCTGTAAAGTTGTAAAATATATGTTTTTTATCAACTGCTGTTGTATAAAGAACAACTTTATTAATTTGTCTTTTGACAAAGAGCAAGAAAAAAAAGAAGAAAATCACTGCTAGTAGAAAGCAAAATTTAGCAGGAACAGCCATGTGTGGGGTGATACTTGTAAGAAGTGGGTGAGAGTGAACTGAAAAAAAAAAATAAATAAAAATCTGTCCCGCACAGATGTCTACCGCAGTGTCCTGACACTTCATACATTCTGCATTTCTCATTCTACATTTCTCATTTAGTGATATGTTTAGTATAGTATTTATTCTAGACTTGATTTAATACCAACAAAAGAAAATTAAAGGAAAATAAATAATTTTATGCATTTTAACAGTATTTCAAGGTAGAAATAATAACTGATCTAACTTTATTAAAAAAATAATTTTTACACTAATTATGTAAAGCAGGGGTGCCAAACTGTACATTTTAATTCCAACCCTGCTTCAACACAACTGTAGGTTTCAAACAAAACTGAAGGACTCGATTATTTTGATCAGGTGTGTTTAAATAGGGGTTAAATGTAACTGTACAGACCTGTGGCCCTCCATGAGTTTGACAACTGTAATGTAAATGCATGAATACCTCTGAATCAATCATTTGAGCATCTCTTTTACTGTTAATGCTGATCCTCCCATTCTTCAGGTTTTTATCAGAGTAAAAAATCCAGTGCAAGTCGCAAACTCAAAGAAACTCAGCTTACAATTGTTTTTTTTCTTTCTTTAAATCAACATGTTCTTGCACTGTAACATATAGGTGGAATGCATTTAACAATGTCAAAACACTCATATGTAACAGTGTAAAGTGAAAGTGCACATTAGTGGAAGAATTAAAAAAAGTGTTGCTTTTAACATTGACCAACAACATGGACTAAATTAAAACTGTAAGACTGAATATACCAACTTGAGAATAACTTTGTTTTATATTATAAATGATAGATTATAAACATGGCTTGACATTGACTTTTTTGATTCCCAGCCACTGGGGCAAGTAGATTTCTAACGTTACTAGCCACTTGAAATGTTCACAAGCCACAATTTTGTTGCTTGGAGAATATATTTTGTATTAATAAATGTGACTTTGACATGCTAAAATGACTTGATTTAGATGCTGTGTTGTCCACATGCCTTCTCATTTATTTCACAGTTTGTGTGAGTTGTGTGTGAGCTTGCTCACTGTGCATGAGCAAATGGGTTGTGTTGCATTGCAGTTGGTTTTTATTTCACATGGCTTTTTTAGATCTGAAAATTAAGGATTTACCAAATTTATCTGACCACACCAAAAAGAAATAATTATTTCTTAGCCACACATTTTAAATGTGTCAAAACAAGCAAATTTATAGCTGTATATAATATAAACTATATTAACAAAATAAGGGCCTACTCGCACTATGCCATCTGTACCGTGCCCAGGCCCGTTTCCCGGATCGTTTGAGAAGTGTGAGTGCGCTGAATCGGGCTCAAGCACGGTTCACTTGGCCGACCCTGGCCCGGTTGGAAGAGGTGTGCCTGAGCGCGGTTCACTTGGGCTTTGGCGTGGTACGCTTGTGTGTGAGTGCAAAATGCGCCAAAGCCCGAAACTGAAAGCGAAACGTGACTTTTAAGGGACTGTTTCATATGGATTTATTAATCATTCTTACTGTTCAGTGAACGCAAACTGCCGTCGTTTATTAAAGACGCAAACTCCTCATTTCATGACAGCTGCGCGGCTTCAGCCGACCTCCTCATTCCTGCAGCACGAGAGCTTCATGATTGTTTATGAGCGCCAAAAGTGGCGGATCTGTTCGGCGAAATATCTGACTGCGTGTCCCCGCATCCCTAAGGACTGTTTGGCGAAATATTTGACGGCATATGAAACGACTGAAACGATATAACTAGAGAAATCTCCACTGTGCTGCTGAGTGAGAGAGCGCTTCTCACTGAACAGCCAAGCAGCGATGACGTAAGCGTGCCGAAGCCCGTTTGTGGTGTGAGCGCGAGCCATCGGGGGAGACGGGAGGGGGGACAAGCGTGCTTTGGCCCGGTTCGAGGCAACTGTACCTAGTGTGAGTACGGCCTAACTGTAAGCAAAAGAAAGCAGGTAAAAACATATCACAAGTGATAATGAAAGGATGAACATGTGCCTGAGAATAATTAAAACGAAAGCAGAACCGATCGCACCAGTCGCTTTTTAACAGTCGCGCGCATTACATCACCTGTGCGAGTAATCATCCTCTCATAAGGTATTTCACCTTAATTTGCTTGCGCGAACACAGTTATTTTTGTCAGTCGTGCTGCTTCTTGATTCTAAGATCAAATTTGCATGCATATTGGGCCTTGCTTATTGTCGAACCCTGCTTTAAGAAAACTACAATGTAAAAATGATTTCCAACCTGCCAAAGTGGCTAGTGGGAGCGGCTGTTTTACCCACCAAAGCTGAAATCTACCCGCATTTGGCGGGTTGGCGGGTGTTAATGTAAAGCCCTGATTATAAGGCTATTTATTGTATCCTGGTGTATAGTGTTTTTAAATGGTATTTAAAGGGTCACGAAACACCAAAACACATTTTTTGAGCTGTTGACAGTCGTATTTGTATCCCACACTGCTAAAAACACTATTAGGACACCTATATTTCACTAAAAAGTGTAAATTGGTTGTTTTTGCGTTATTTCAAGCAAATTCGTACTTCCGGTTTGAAACGAATTTTTGAAGCTGCGTCACGGCCATGACATAATAGCGTTGTATTCCAGCGTGCAGACTGGGCGTCTGTGCCAGAGTGTGTCTTATTATGTCTTACAGTGTGCTGCATTAATGCATGAGTAAGGCTTGGTTCACACCAATCAGCGCGCTCTATTGTGCAACTTCATTAATATTCATTACTGTCACAGTGTTTAGACGACGTTGTGTTGGCAAAACAAGCGTGAAGTGTTGCTTTTATAGTTTACTGCAGTTAAGTTTTGTTTTCATTTTCTCTCTGTGAGAGCTCATCTGGAGTCACGTGTGGATTAACAGTGTACGCGACGCTCGGCAACAATAACTTGCGTGTCTAAGGAGGATTATTGTTTACCTGAGAGCTGTTCTCATCTGCAAACGCTGAGATCCAGATTCGCTTGTAGTCTTCTCTTATTAAAGACGCGGCTCTAGTTGCTGGTGATTGTCCTGTCTCTACAGATTTGGTAAGTGAGCGACCAGTGCTCTTTGTTTATTCAGTTTGTTCGTATCGAACTAAGTTAACTATTGAGTGTAAACATGTTAGCACCACAACCAAACTTTAACCTCGTGTAGGGTTTTCGCCACATTTTGTGACCGGAATAACACACGCGGCATTCTGACGCTACCTGCCGTGTGCATCTAAGTTTCCGGGAAATGCGGAAGGTTTTTTTCTCTCATTCGCCGTGCGGTATCAAACATTGCATGAAAAATACACGCTTAGAGCAGTTCCTTGAATCAAATATCTTGTTTGTCGCGAGGGACATGAATGAATTCCCTGAATGAAAGAGCCAAACTGCAGTTAAAGTCCAACATTTAATAATTTGGCAAATAATTCAACTACAGATGTCCATGTAGGTTAAACACCTTCACTTTTTCCTGTGTCTGTATTTTGACTCTGAAACTCGCACGTGCCCAAGTAGACACTCCACCACCCCCCCACTTTAGTTCCTCCGACACTCCCCCTAAACAGAGCTGGACACGCCCACTTTTCTGACTTTTTCCAAAGTAGAGGTGTGAAAAGAGGTTTCATGGCCCTTTAAGTGTGTTTTTGTTTCCAATGTAAACTGAATCAAACCAAAAACCTTGACCAGAGAACCATAATACAAACCAATCATCAATTTTGTGAACATCCCACCCATTTTAAAAATTGTCTGACCTGCTGAACGTCCTGTTGGAAGACGCAAAGCTGCAGCCGTTGGTGGAGACGGAGTTTGCGGTGTTGCCAGATGTTCTCCAACTGCCTCTGGTGATGCAGAACCTCATGAATGATATCCAGAACGTGATGAACAGCCTTGGAGTAGTTAGCCGAGGAAGTCAGCGAATCAGCACTGCCCGGGGTCAAAGGGCGCTGGAGCTTATCTAGCAGGGCTTTGCCATCCTGACTTACCTGAGGATAAACACATAACACACACATCAAGATATGTTTTGAAGACGAAATTCCTACTTTGATTAAATAACTAAAATATATACCATAAAAGGATACATGATGCAGGCTGCAGGGATGTTTTAAATTGGCCACAATTCTCTCTGTGAAATCTTATTTTGACATATATTTTGGGAAAATGCTTTGAAAGAAAACTCAACATTACACTCAAATTTGCAACCCTTTCATTATATTGGTGGCCGTTCTTGCCTCATTGACTACCATTATAATGAAGTGTTTTTAATGCAAAGTCATGACACCATATTAGGGCTGCACGATTCTGGCTAAAATGTGAATCGTGATTTTATTTGCCAAAAATCTAGATCACAATTTCCTCACGATTCTTTAGATGTAAAATAAAGGTTAATATGAGTAGGCTATTTTTATTGTTAATTCTCAAACATATCGTCACTTTGGAATTATAAGGTTCTATCTGCGTTCTGAATTGTTACACCTGACTCAGGGATGTAACAGTGAGGGAGACGACAAGGTGAAGTATAACCAAAAAGAAGATTTATTTAACTTAATTGAAATAATATAATCAAAATATCAGTATCAGCATGTTTAATCAGTGTGAAATGCAAGTGTATTGATGCAGTGAATGTTGTCAGGGATAGTGTATGGATGCGAAACAAAACATAATGCCCAAATTGGAGCGCAGCTCTGGCCAACTGCCAAGTGAATGGACAGCGGCCCTGACAAGCTCTCTGTCTGGGTTTAATTAAGGGCGCTGACCAGCATCAGGTGCGCTAAAGGCACGCCCCCAATCTAGAATCAAACCAAACACATAGGCTGCGTCCGAAACCGCCTACTACTCAGTAGGTACTGCATTTGAATTTAAACGTACTACTCGGCCTTTAGAAAAGTACTTTCTATACAGTATGAATGTGAAAAGTATGAATGGAATTCGGACGTACGACATTTTGTCATGGTCACGTGACCTACCTGCGTAAGTTGCATCGCCTCACTTCCATTCATGAATTCTCTCACGGAGCATTATGGGATAGCGCAGCGTGCATGGGCTTCGCACTTCAGAATCACGCCGGAAGTAGTAAGTCATCCGGGTACTTCTCGCCTACTGATTTTCGAATTCTATGAATTCGGACATATTACTCGGCTCACATACGGATTTTAGCGTACTATATAGTATGGAAGTATGCGGTTTCGGACGCAGCCATAGAAACACAAAACAACGCAGTCCTAACATGAATGATTTTGAGATATTGATCTTCAAAGTTTTTGCAATCCATAAAACAAACAGTATGTGTGCAACATTCGTTTTTTTTTTTAGAAAGTCTTAAAATGTAAACAATAAGTTGTCATTCAATAAGAATATGTCAATAACTTAATTTTGACAAAACTGCCAGATAAAACCTTACAATTCTAAAGTTACGACATGATAAAACAACAATAATAATATTAGGCCTAGGTGTAGGTTTACTGTTGCCTAAAATGCTAAATTTTGTACAGTCATTATGGTGGACTTGAACAGACTTTCAATATGTCCTGGTTGTTAATTCACAGTAAAATTATGACATCTGAATACAACTATTCATAGTTATAAAGTTTAAAAAAAAATTATGTTTAAGACATGTGCTTGTCAATTGTCATTGACAATGAAGGAGCCATTTGTTTATTTAATTTAAAGGTTTGTGTTTGTGTCTTGATTTCTTTTAATTTGGAGATTTGCACCCCCTGCAGGCCAGAGGAAGCTAAAAAAGGACTGGGTGTGGCCTACTGGAGAAGGGCCTGCTGGAAGCACATGGTCTTTAGACCTTACCTTTAGTTTTTGATGGCCAAAGTCATTCGATTTTGTTTATATTCTTGTAAAGAACATGAGAGATTCGTACTTCAGAATAAGCAGCAGTGATGTGTTCATAGAGACCCTGGTGGTGGTGAATGGTGTCTTCCAGGTCCTGTAGCTCAGAAGGAAGTTCGCCTTCTCCACAGGCCTTACACCATGAGTCCATGTTGCTCATATACTAGAAAACAGACAATAATATTCTGTTATTGATTATCTCAAAAAGGGCAATATACATTTGTGTTCTTTTACTATATACATGAATAATTATACAATAAGTCAATCTAAAAATGCTGTTAGAAGGCCAACTCTATAACAATTTGTACATTTTTGTCTATGATGCTGGCAACAGATAATAAGTGGACAAAAGGAAAAAGATACAGTAAAGAAAGATCAAATTAATTGATTTCATTCATCTATAAGCAGAAAACAATCATATCAGCACTAAATACTCTATGGAAATGTACTGAACAACAAACAAACAATGACAAACAATCAAAACACAAGGTAAACATCCCTGCTATTTGCAGATTTAATTCTGGAGGAATAAAATGAATACTAATAATGACATTTTCTCATAAACATGTTTATGTTTAACTGACCATGTCCCCAAAAACATAGTAAAACATAGTATTATCTCCCATAGTGTGCGAATGACCAGAATTACCCAAGAGTGAAATACATTATTTATTTTAAATTAAATGATGTTCTCTTTTCAAAATAAAATAAGAAAAATGGAAGAAGTTGAATGATTATGATTATGGCTCGATGTGTTTTGGAAAAGAATGTCATATGGACACTCGCCTTAACCCTAGAAAACTTTGTTATTATGTGTTATTATAAGTATGAGGTTGGACAGCTTGTTTAACATGAATAGTACGAATACGTAATGTTTTTTAGAATCCTAATGTTTGCATTTCCATTAGATTCCATTTGGTTTAAAACCAAATGGAATCCAAATCTTTGTTAAAACCAGTATGTCATTGTTTAAAATCTAAGAAGGCCTACGGCTGCATGCATACACACACACATACTTGTATAAATGTTTTATGAGGACTCTCCGCAGTTGTCATGTATTTTATACTGTAAACTGCTTTTTAAACTCAACTCTCACAAGAAACCTCTTGCAAATTTTAACCCCAACCCTAACCCTGTTAAGTATAATTTTTAAGCATTTTGAATTACAAGGACATGCCTTATCTTAAAGGGATAGTTCACCCAAAATTTAAAAGTTACTAGCCATTTACTCATCCTCAAGTGACTTCATGACTTTATGAGTTTCTATTTTCTGTTGAACACTAATGAAGATATTTCGAAAAATTTAAGAAACCTGTAACCATTGACTTCCACAGTAGGCAAAACAAATACTATAAGTCAGTAGTTACAGGTTTTCATCTTTTTTTGTTCTTTTTTTTTTGTTAAAAAAAAAAAAAAAGAAACTCTAACAAGTTTGTGACAAGTAAAAGGATTGTAAATTATGACAGAATGTCAGTTTTGGGTAAACTGTCCCTTTAATAGAGTGCAACTGGGCCAGGGCTGCTCAATCCTGTTCCTGGAGATCTAGGCTGTTTCTCAATTCCAAGAACGCAGAGAACGGACTTGCGTTCTTGTGGAGACCGGTCTAGCCAGGTATCCTCGGAAGAACGAACTCAGGAGATCGCGAGGGCAGAGAATGCGTCCTTTGAGAAATGGGATGCTGCGTTCTTCCTGATGGTCATGTGACCTTCACGCGTTTTAAATGGAAATTATTTAAACATTACAGCCTTCATACAACGATTTATTGTTTCCCCCCTCTTCAAAATATATACTTTGCATAAAAACATTATATACTCTGCACAATATAAATAATACAAATTTTAATACGAATTTCAGCAAACAAACACCCTTAATGTGTTTATTCCTTTATTAAGATATTCATGTTAATGTTTACTTTCACCGTTTCATTTAGGGAAAGTCCTAAGGTAAATAAGTGATATCTCTGAACTTTAATAATAAATCTAAATAAAATGCAGCGCTTCCCACCTCCAGTCGCAATGACTTCTGGGACTTCCAGAGCAAGTTTGGTGCTCAAGTCTGCATCAGTGCGTCCTCGATATCAAGATCACATCCGGATCACAATAGATCACATCCGGATCACAATAAGTTTCACGCGTCCTCCGTACTTGCGGTCTTGAGTATTGGAACTGAACTTAGGCAGCTGATGATGACGTTGCACGAGAACACGCGGACGCAAGACCGCTGAAGAACGCATATTGAGAAACAGTCCTACCTTCCTGCAAAACACAGCTCTCACCCTGATCAAACACACCTGAACCAATTAATTAGGTCCTGAACAGCACTTGATAATTACAGGCAGGTGTGTTTGAAATGGGTAGCAACTGAAATCTACAGGAAAGTAGATCTCCAGGAACAGGGTTGAGCACCCCTGAACTAGGCAATACCCATGTCATTACACAAATTTGTGTCCTTATAAACCATAGAAACAAGTCAAATTAACACAATTATTTCTAATTTGAAAGCTATTATCACACCTATATAGAATAAATATAATTTTACTCAAAACCATACCTAAAACATCCAGTAAATCAACCTGAGAATTTATCTCTTATCTTTTCACCACAGCTTTAATTTTATAGATTTTTATCTCATAACTCTCATAATTAATCATTTGAAAGACATTATCCATTTGTTTGTTTGTTCATCCAGTGTATCAGAAGATATGGTAACACATGAGCCTCACCTGGTCAGTTTTCTGGTGGAAGTTGGCAGACATTTCCAACAGTGTACTTCTCTCGTCCAGTGCAGCGGCGAATGCTTTCCACTCTTGCTCCAGCTGACCTGAGATCTGCTGAATCTGCTGGGTCGCATAGTGACCTGACTCCAGCAGCCTGTTCCCCACTGACATAATCCGACTGATGTTCACGTACACATTCTGCAAGACACCAAAAACAAAGGTATGTATTTACTAGGGATGTCTCGATCAGGTTTTTTTGCCCTCGAGTCGGAATCATTTGATTTTGAGAATCTACCAATCCTGAAACCCGATCTGAGACATCTATAATACATGAAAACAATAATTTAAAAAAAGAGTGAAGAAACAGATCCAGGATGTTCCTTATTTTTTTTATTTAATTCACCTTATTTTAACATTCAACAACTCTGTTAATAAACAGAACAGTTCTGTGAGGTAGCTTGAACAATCAAGTAATAAATAACAAATTCTTCACTTTTGGATTTTAGTGCTAAAAAAAAAATCTAATATAAAAATAGATAGCACGATTAGAGTCCTGATCTGGAGGTAACGTCTGATTCCGATCGAGTCTGAAACCGTGTGATCGGGTCCGATTTCCGATAAGGAGATCGAATCTAGACATCCGTTGTATTTACTGCGTCACTGAATGCTTCTTTTGTAAAGTATGTGGTATCGGCATAGCAAAAAAACAAACCAATACATTGTTACAGATCTTAAAATGCTTTTTTAAATATATTATTAACAACACAGTTGACGAATTGCTGAAATGACATGCTATTTCCACAAACCATTAAAATAAAAGCATATACTATTAATCAACATTCATTCATTCATTTTCTTTTTGGCTTAGTCCCTTTATTAATCTGAGGTTGCCACAGCTGAATGAACCGCCAATTTATCCAGCACATGTTTTACACAGCGGATGCTCTTCCACCTGCAACCCATCTCTGGGAAACTTCCATACACACTCATACACTACGGACAATTTAGCCTACCCAATTCACCTATATACCGCATGTCTTTGGACTGTGGGGGAAACCGGAGCACCCGGAAGAAAACCTACGCGAATGCAGGGAGAACATGCAAACTCCACACAAAAACGCCAACTGACCCAGCCAAGGCTCGAACCAGCGACATTGTGGCTGTGAGGCGACAGCACTACCTACTGCATCGCCTCTATTAATCAACAGAAAATTTATAATCATTATTACAATATAAAAAAACAAAACAAGTGTCATTTTTCATATATAAAATGTTTATAGTTTATATAAACTATAGTTTCTACTATAGTTTATAGTTTTCTGATTGAAGTAATGGGCAAAATATTAATATTTGGCATAAAGGACAACATGGATGCATTCAATAATTAATGTTAAAATAATTAAAATTCTCAATTGAAATAAGTTTGTTGTATTTGTTTATTTATATTAAAAAATACTTTCTGATTTATTGTTTTCTATATAGGGCGAGGCAGTGGCGCAGTAGGTAGTGCTGTCGCCTTACATCAAGAAGCTCGCTGGGTCGCTGGTTTGAACCTCGACTCATTTGGCGTTTCTGTGTGGAGTTTGCATGTTCTCCCTGCCTTCGCTTGGGTTTCCTCCGGGTGCTCCGGTTTCCCCCACAGTCCAAAGATGTGCGGTACAGGTGAATTGGGTTGGCTAAATTGTATGAGCGTGTGTGGGGATGTTTCCGAGAGATGGGTTGCGGCTGGAAGGGTATCCGCTGCGTAAAAACTTGCTGGATAAGTTGGCGGTTCATTCCGCTGTGGCGACCCCGGATTAATAAATGGACTAAGCCAACAAGAAAATGAATGAATGAATGTTTTCTATATAGTAGTTTGTCGTTTTCAACATATTTCAAAGACTTAAAGTCAGAAGTTATAAATTTTAGCCAATTACAATTTTATAATTTTATAAATTTTTTAATTTATTATGTTCAACAAGTTAGTTAGTAATTTTCAGCTAATTCTTTTCATTTAGAAGTTATAAGAAGTGATTTTTGCCAGCTTAGTTCCCTTTTTGCACGTTCAACTTACAGTAAAATACCATTGACAATAAAAATATATGAAAAATACAAAATATTTAACTTTATAAGGCCTAAAAAAGCTCCACCTTATTTCATTATAACCTAAAGTGTGGGTTACACCTGCTAAAACAATCAGAGAAAATATCTGTTTTCATGATCAGTAATTACGGATAGAAATCGTTCATACTAATATGCTTTACATACTTGACAGCGTGTGTTCTGTAATATTATGGGAGTGTCTGAAGTGAATGTGTGTTCTTAAGGGAACTAAAGTCTAGTGCATGAGAGCGGCAGAGCTCTGGTTACCATGCTGTTTTCTCACATGGGGCTAATTACACAGCCCAGAGGCATTCAAAAGGGTACAGGATCAATACACAGAGAGCTGTCAGATGAAAACCTGATGGGGGTTTGGCATCGGCCTGTGTGCAATAATAAACTCCAGCAGTAATGTCCGTGCACGTGAAAACCTGGAGCAATAACAGTCACATGCATATGCAAACGCACAAACAACCTAGTTCTAACAAACTTCAATAAGCGACGGGTGCAACATTTAATGGTGACTAATTCAATCCTTTTTAATTAATAATACTGTAAGTCTACCAATTTTAGAAGCTTATAAGTATATATGTTCTGTATGTGTATCAGCATATTTGCAAATATCAAACTTAAATTTTTCAAATACAAAAACTTTAACAAAACAGTTTAGAACTACAATAAATATTTGTATGTGTATTTAGGAACATTCTGTATTGAAAATATGACTTAAGGACTCCCACTATACTTATTTTTAACTGTCTTTGCCTGATAAATTATAAATTCAGCTTCAATTATTATGAACTTATCAAACTTTATGTTGCTTATAAAAAAATATATATATATATTTATTTGTTATACAAAGTTTAACTTTGTACATATTTTAGCCAGTTTGACTGATGTGAGGGGCGAGGCAGTAGCGCAGTAGGTAGTGCTGTCGCCTCACAGCAAGAAGGTCGCTGGGTCACTGGTTCGAACCTTGGGTCAGTTGGTGTTTCTGTGTGAGTTTGCATGTTCTCCCTGCCTTCGTGTGGGTTTCCTCGGGGTGCTCCGGTTTCCTCCACAGTCCAACGACATGCGGTACAGGTGAATTGGGTAGGCTAAATTGTCTGTAGTGTATGTGTGTGTTTGTGAACGTGTGTGTGGATGAATCCAAGAGATGGGTTGCGGCTGGAAGGGTATCCGCTGCGTAAAAACTCGCTGGATAAGTTGCGGGTTCATTCCGCTGTGGCGACCCCGAATTAATAAAGGGACTAAGCCGACAAGAAAATGAATGAATGAATATTGTGAGTTATATTGTTAAATTGATTCATCTAAAAATTATTTAATTCATAAATTTTAATTTAATTCTACAATGAAGTTGAAATTAACATTTGCATTAAAGATTTACACCCACTAGCCACTTCATTAGGTACACCTGTCCAACTGATAGTTAATGCAAATTTCTACTCAGCCAATCGCATGGCAGCAACTCAATGCATTTGGGCATGTACAAATTGTCAAGACGATCTGCTTCAGTTCAAACTGAGCATCAGAATGGGGGAAAGGGTGATTTTGAACGTGGCATAGTTGTTGGTGCCAGACGAGCTGGTCTAAGTATTTCCGAAATGGCTGATTTACTGGTATTTTCACGCACATCCATCTCTAGAGTTTACAGAAAATGATCTGAAAAAGAGAGAATTTCCAGTGAACGGCAGTTCTGTGGGCGCAAATGCCTTGCTAATGCCAGAGGTCAGAAGAGAATGGCCAGACCGATTCAAGCTGATAGAAAGGCAACAGTAACTCAAATAACCACTTTTTACAACTGAGGTATGCAGAAGAGCATCTCTGAACGCACAACACGTCCAACCTTGAGGCAGATGGGCTACAGCAGCAGAAGACCACACCAGGTGCCACTCCTGTCAGCTAAGAACAGGAAACTGAGGCTACAATTCACACAGGCTCACCAACATTAAACAATAGAAGACTGGAAAAATGTTGCCTGGTTTGATGAGTCTCGATTTCTGCTGCGACATTCGAGTGGTAGGGTCAGAATTTGGCATCAACAACAGGATGAATCCATCCTGCCTTGTATCAACAGTTCAGGCTGGTGGTGGTGGTGTAATAGTGGCTACTTCTGAAAGCTACTTCCAGCAGGATAACGTACCATGTCATAAAGTGCAAATCATCTTAGATGGTTTCTTGAACATCACAATGAGTTCACTGTAATCAAATGGCCTCCACAGTCACCAGGTCTTAATCCAATAGAGCACCTTTGGGATGTGCTGGAACAGGATATTTGCATCATGGATGTGCAGCCGACAAATCTGCAGCAACTGCATAATGCTATCATGTCAATACGGACCAAAATCTCTGAGGAATATTTCCAGTACCTTGTAGAATCTATGACATTAAGGATTAAGGCAGTTTTGAAGGCAAAAAGGGGTCCAACCTGGTACTAGCAAGGTAAATAAAGTGTCCGGTGAGTGTATTTTTCTGCGTTATTTGTCATTTCAGTTCAAATAAATTCTGTCTTTCCCTAAAATCTGGTCAACCTTGTAAAAAAAAAAAAAAACATTGACTCAGTGAGTGAAGTACAGTAGCAACGGTTTTTGCTGTTCTGACGTCAGCTGCAGATGTGAATGAATGGCGCAAAAAAGTAGTTCCTCATACAAAAGTGTTTTTAGACTCTGTGTTTGATTTTCTTTTTAATATAGACGAGTATGCTGTCAAACTGTATATCATCGCTGGTGGCACACTAAGGCCAACGCATGCCTCCCACCATTGCCAATATACAGTGCCATGTGTGTGTGTATATATACAGTATATATATATATATATATATATATATATATATATATATACACACACACACACACACATACATACATACACACACACACACACACACACACACACACACACATACATACACACACACACACACACACAGTAAAAAATTAATAACAAACAAAACAAACAAACCAAAAAAATTACTAATTTACAAACAAATTAAGTTGAACGGTGCTAAAATTTCTTAGTTTGTTTAAATCCAGGCTATATAACATTTTGCAACCACTTACCTTAACATTTTTTTGTAAATCCAATGAATCCTTTTTTTTCAGAGTATATGAATGCATGTG